CTCATCATTACCACTGCACCCGAAAATAAAGCATGGGATAGGAGGACGAGAGGCGGATGGAGTTGATTTTCGGGGTTTCATATTGAGAAGATGGAAGAAAGGGTTCTTTTCAGGGATTGAGAGGAGGAGGAACGAACAGCAGCAGGAGATGGTTTTCGGAGTCTCATATTGAGAAGATGGAAGAAAGGGTTCTTTTCAAGGATCGGAGCACGGCCTCTCCTTCACTGATTAACGAATTTAAAGATTGACTCGTAATTACTTTTACTTTTCCCTCCCTTCACATTTACTGAAAATTACAGTCCCTACCATTGCCTCGGCCTTGGTAACGCCAGCATTGGTTATGGGCAAAAGCGACTTTCCGAATTCGGCAATATCTGATTGGGTGACACGCACGCGACGAGGATCGAAGGTATTTCACCATCGGATCAAGGGATAAGTTTAGGAATTGACGGTGGGAAATGGGGATGTACTTTTTTAAATAGTCTGAATTTGTAGATTAACTAACTTTTTCGTTTTACCAACATTACTCTATTCATCTGGTTTATGTTATTCTAACTTGAAACCCTAAACCCTAAACCCTAAACCCTAAACCCTAAACCCTAAACCCTAAACCCTAAACCAAACCCTAATACACGAACCAATCAATATCATATACTCTACAACAATAAGAACACCTTATAGGCTTATACCGTAACCAATCAATAACATATATACTTTAAACCATCAACACCTTGCTCCTCCCTTATACGTCCATCACCTTCAAGACCTTATACTGTATACCAACAACACCTTCTTCTATCTCCATCCCCAACTTTCAATTTATAATAAGTGTTTCCTTTGAAATATAAAATGGAACCCACCTTGGCAATTACTAGCATAATGTAGGGATGTAGATGAATAGAAATTGTTAAGTGATGAATTGCTAAAATTGATGATGTGGCGGTAGGGACCTCGTTTAGAAATTGTTGTTCAATTTTAGGGATGAAGATGATCAATACACTAACCCAATACCATATACTCTAAACCATCAAAACCTTATACAATATCTTATTTTAGGGATGGAGATGATCAATACACTAACCCAATACCATGTACTCTAAACCATCAACACCTTATACAATATCGTATACCTAGACGCTGATAATTTAAAATTATAACTTGCTTTTCAAAACATAAATTAAAAATTGATACCTCACTAAGTATCGAACCACAAACCTCTACTTTATTGACTAAGCAAATAAGAGACAATTAACCAATTAAGCTACATCACATTGATGACCATCTTGCATAATTTCGCTTTCTTATTAAGTGAAGGGTTAAAATGATCGATAAATATATCACAGGGGATTGTTTCAACTTCGGCGGGGACTGAGAGAGTGGAAAAGGGGTAATTATTCTACCAAAACAGAAAAGAAAAGGGGGAATTAATGAAGAGTTAAATTGGACGGATTGTCTTTACCACGCCACTACAAAATCATTCGGAGCAAAAACACGCAGGTTCAAATCAAACAATAAATTATCAGCATTTATAAGCAGATATACAGCATTTATAAGCAGATATAACGAATTATGTCTTAGTAATAAGGCATGATCAGCATTTATAAGCAAATATAAAGAAAATATATAATCGAGAAAAAATAAGACAACACCTACCCTCACCCTTTAACCAATCGATACCATATGCTCTAAACCATCAACACCTTATAACCTACCCATATACCATATACTCTATACCATCAACAACCTAATACCCTAAGCAGTCAGTACCCATTTCCTCTAACATCAACACCTTATACAACAATCGTATACCTATACGCTGATAAAATTTTACCGATTGAAAATACTTGTCCAACTAAAGTACATAGGTACTTCAAAAGTGAAACTCTAACTTTCGTTTCAAAACATAAATTCAAAAAATATCCTCACTCAGTATCCAACCACAAGCCTCTAATTAGTCTACAAGAGGTTTGTTATGTACGAGTGCATTGCATAAAGAGGGGAAATCGGTGAGAGAGTGGAATGGGATCTCAATTAATGAAGAGTTAAATTGGGCGGATTGTAGTTTACCTCGTACCGCTAAATGTGTAAAGAGACACGCTAGCATTTACCAAATTCCAAAAAAGATGGAACACAGAATTATGTTTAAATTGCGTGAACTCAATGAATGATCAGGATTTTAGAAGCAGAAGCAGATGAAAATAAGTAAAACAAAGAATCGCCACTGAGAGTCTGAGATAGACAATTATCAAAGGCCCAACCTAATGACAATCCGGAACTCAGTATCTATTATCAACAAACTAGGTGTCATGGGTCCATGTACAAGCCCACGTTTGAATGTTTTTTTTTTTAGCCTGCAAAAATCAATGATCAGACCCAGTCCAACTAGAATTAGTCCTAAACGCAGCGTTAATACATAAACACAAATTAAGGAGACCTCTCCATCTGATTCGAATCAAATTAGGTCTTCTTCATCTCCTTCCTCAATCCTCTGGGCGAGACGAACACTGCATATCAGGAAACCTTAATTTCACCGAGTGATAGAAGTTTCGAGAAAATGACAATAACGCTAAGACAAGATGACAAAGCACTAGCGACATGAACCCTAGGATTAGCAAATCTCTTTCAAGGGTTCTTTTGCAAACGAAAAGTTTGATGAACACAATAATAGACATGGTCGCCGTAATCGTGTTAGCAAGAGTAAGGCGAGTAATTTTCCGCACGGAAATAAAATGGCGATGAACAAAACGTCGATTTGTGGATAAAAGGATTTGGGGTTCTAAACGATGATTATGTAAGGATTTCATATTGGATGGGGATCTTCTCTTCGAATGTGGATACATAGATTTGGCGTATGAAACATGATGATGTTGGGGATTTGAGATTGGATAGGGAGCTAAATCGAATGTGGATCAAATAATAAAAGGATTTGGGTTTCGAAACGATGATTTTGTTGGAGATTTCAGATTTGATAGGCAGCTTATGATCGAACTTCGAACTTAGAGTTAGAGGGGACCCTCCAAGGCGAATGAGGGATCGTAGAAGGGAGACTGGAAATTGGTTAGGGCGGCGGGTCGTATCCATAGGGTTTAACCTCTTAATCGCTATCATTAAACCGGGTACAGTTAGGTTGAAGTCCGTAGAAGTCACCATAAACGCTTCGTGATGCATTTGGTAATTTTCCTTGCCCCCGGTCACCCGTACCCCTGATTTTGCCCTGGGCACCGTAGAACTGCCCATATATATATATATATATATATATATATATATATATATATATATATATATATATATATATATATATATATATATATATTTTCAATGAGTTAACTGAAAATTCCTCTCCAACCCCTTTTCAAGACTAAGATATCCAATCCAAGTATCCAACCCTCCTCCATATTCAAATATCGAAGCTAGTCATCTTGCTGGTGGAGAAGACACATCAATCAATAATCAAAATTTTACATTTTCTTATTGTGTCATCGTATCTATAAGTATCTGCAAATGGGGCAGCATGAGAATCTTGACCGTCAATCTACATTGCCGTATACGTGTAAGTGACGACGGTTGATTTTGATAAAGCTTTGGCCCCAAAAAAGACAGAAGATTCTCCATCATCCAGCCTAGGGAAAGGCTTCTTCTTGCGAGATCTCAGTTGGATACGGTTACGCCTACTACCCAAAAGCCAGGGCACACGATTTACCATTTCTGTGATACAAGCGCTGATGCAGTCGCCTCTCCGTTCTTCGCCGGAGGTTCGCGCTGACTAGAATCATGCTCTGTTTTTTTTGCAATCAGTCCATGACATGCTCTGTTTTTTTGCTGGTGTAGAATCATCGTCAAGATCCGAAATCTTAACTTAATCTGTTGTCTTACTTGAGATTGAAATTAGAACGTAGTAACTAACACAATAATAACCCGTTTGTTCTGTAATCCACAAACAGTTGAATTCCAGCAGCGGGAGACATCCCAATGGAACCCAGTGGCCACTGTTTATTTTTGGAGTAATATTTCTTTTGTTCTATTTGGAGAAAAATTATTAGTGTCAACACGTCTATATGCAAGAAGATATCATAATTAAGTAGTAACACTTTATTTTGCTAATTACTTGTCATTCTTGTCCAAATGAAGCATATAATAATTTCGATTACGAGAGATGGGCTTCTTTCTGGAAGGTAGGTGGGGAATTTAGATTAGGATGGTGTAACTACTGAGTACTGACTAGGCTTAGGTTGGGATAAGCAGCTTGACTAATGACACTATTAGGCAAACTTTGGCACATGGGGTGCTCAATACTACAATTTGAAGTTATTTCTTGTTTTATCAAGGAATTGTTATGGGTAGCCTTAGTTGGTGTGGGCATGGTTCAATTCGGTTTGACTTTGAATCGGATCAACATGTACGGATCGAAGCGGCATCAAAATGCACGAGTGCATTCGAAATTACTTGTTTATTTTATTTTCATTTTGATTCATTCATAACATTGTACTTAAGAGGATTCAGTTTAGATACCTAAAGAAATACCAGTTTGTTGGTGGCTCCGTAGCGATGATGACGACGACCTTCACGATGCGGTCCATCAACGTTTTGCTCCAGTTATCCTTCCTCATGGTTCACTACTGCGATCTAGGGTAGATTTTGGTTTTCTTGCGCGATGAAAATAGAGATTGCGTCTAACCAGTGCGATTTTAGCCAAAAACATATGTGTAATGGAAATTTCTATAATATTTTGGGATTTGTTTTTAAGAACTAATGTGGGAAAATCCGTGTTTCTTATCATAAAAAAGATTAAAAGAAAATAATATTATTTTTTGACAAATATAAAGAAAACCAAGTAAAAAAAACAAATAAAAAGAAAACAATAAAGGAGTGTAGTTGAGAAAGCCCAATTGTTTACTGTACGCCAAACCAAGCCCAACATAGACAGACGAAAGTCAATCCAAACTAACCTGCTCCACCAGGCCCGTTCTTTCAATGGATCCACAGAAATCGGCGACGAATGACGCCGACGATAAAATCCCTCTTCCTCCTTGTACGTTTGTTCTCCTGATTGACGACGTTCTCAAAATTCTGAAGCCTTCCCCAACAAATTCAATTCCCGACGAAATCTTGCCGATTCGTTTAGTAATCGGCGGCCAAGATTCAGGCATCGCTCTGAATCCAATCGGAATCGCGGGACCATGCCGAAGAAGATGGGGGTGAACAGCAAGGCCGAGGAGGCCAGGGCGCGGAAGAACGCGACGGAGAGCGAGAAGAAGCAGCGGGAGGCGCGGGAGAAGGAGGAGAAGTACTGGAAGGAAGCGGAGGGACCGAAGTCCCGCGCGGCCAAGAAGCGGGAGGAGGAAGAAGAGAAGCGTGCCGAGGCCGCGGCGCGCAAGGCGGAGGCGAAGCGGCTGGCGGAGCTGGAGGAGAAGGAGCTGGAGAAGTCGCTCAAGAAGGTGGACAAGAAGGCGACGCGTGTGTCGATTCCGGTTCCCAAGGTGACGGAGGCGGAGCTGAGGAGGAGGAGGGAGCAGGAGCAGGCGGCGCTGGGGAAGAAGTCCGAAGAGGCGAAGAAGAAGCAGACGAGGACCGCGGAGGAGGAAGAGTACGAGAGGCTGGTGCTGGTCGAAAACACGAATCGCGATGATTCGATTATTGATGCGAGGACCGTGGAGGATGCTATTGCTCACTTGACTGTAGCGGAGAGCTTGCCGGTTGATCGCCACCCCGAGAGGAGACTGAAAGCTTCGTTTAAGGTGTGTTTATTCTTCTTCTTTTGCTGTTTGAGTGAGAAGAGATTGATTGTGCAATTGGGCAGTATTGAATTGGAGAATTATGAGGATCATGACCTGCTAAGCTTAGGGTAATAGCTGCGATTGAGGTGGATTTGATTACCGTGATTACAAGCTGGAATAGGGATACTCTTGATTGATGAGCTGATAGTGAAAGGTGAAAGCTTTGATTTTTTTTTCTTTTGGTTTGGCCGAGGGGAGGGTTGGTGTTCAGGTAAGAATGAGAAGGGTGACATTTCGTTTAGATGTAAGTTTCCGGATGTATATATGGCCCTGAATGCTTGCCCATTACAGTAGTCGGTAATGCCATTGGACTCCAGTTGGATGAGATGTGGATGCTGCGTTTGAGGTTATTAATCAGTCCTGGTAGATGATCAACTGGAGAGTATCTTGAGCATTGAGGGCCAAGAATAGCTAGCTTGCTGTTAACTCCTGATAACATTCGGTCCTTAGTTGGAGTGCTCTCACACTTGCTAGAAATAGTTACCATAACCTTTTCGATCACATTCTTATTTCATACGGGCCTTCTCAATTATGATGCAGTTGCTTCTCCAGATTTATTATTTACGAACGATGATGCATTTTGTTATCAAGATTGCAGTTTCTTTGGTTCTGTAGTTCCTAGGTTTGTCAGTTCTTATAAAATGTTTTAGAATCGTTATCATCGATTTATTGGTCAATTACATGTCTTCGAAACTGTTTGGATTGTGACGAGCGAGCCAATTCATGTTAGTTGTTGCTTTTCTCGTTGGTTACAAATTGGTGTGACAAGACTGCTGTCTGCTACCTATTAATTCTTCTGCTAGCCCGATGTTTGTGTTGGTAACTTTCAGATGGATAGTTTGGGATGCTTGTTCTTGTGTATGGTTGTGCATTCCTTGTTTGGTGTCCTGGTTGGGAGTAAAGCATTCAGCATTTTTCCTGTAACACATGCTTCTTTGTTTACTGTTCCGTGCTCAATTCGCCCTCCTTGCACCTTTACTTTCCTTGTCAATCCCGCTGCATATCGAGGTTGTTTTTGGATATACCGTTTTCATTTTCGTCGTCTGTTGATTGTGTTCTGCCTTTATTTTCAACCTGCAATAGGCTTTCGAAGAAGCTGAACTCCCAAAGCTGAAGGAAGAGAAGCCAGGACTAACTCACAATCAATACAAGGACATGATTTGGAAGATGTGGAAGAAGTCCCCAGACAACCCTCTCAATCAGGTGCGCTCTCGACTTTAGGATTGCCATCCACCTGGCCATTCTGGTCTTTCCAAACCCCCTTTTGCTCCCGGCTTAGGACTATGGTTCTGAATCCGAACAACAAGATCCCTCCCCTGAGCCGTAATGATATATGACATTGAACTTTGAATTCGTGTTGCAGATTAGTAGTGAGTGAGCCTCCACCCCGGTCACAAATCTAGAAGTGGTCATGACTCCGTTTCATTCTGGCTTTACTGCGGCAAGGGGCCTTCCTTCTTGTATGTTGAAAGAGAGGTGCGAAAAGCTAGCGGCATAGCTGAAATGATGGTGAGGGGAGGATCTTCTTATATGGTTTTTGAGTAACTGATGTATGGTGTAAATGGCATTTGCATAAAACTGCTGCTGAGGACAGTAGAGTGGTGTTCTTCAGCTCTTGGTTAGAAATTTCAGAATGTGATTGAATCTTTTGACCTATGCTGAGTGTTCATTGTTACTAGTACCTAGCTATAATGTTGTAGCCCTTCAATAAAATGGGATGGTGGTGGGGGAAGCTTTGCTTTGTCAGTGTGTACTGGGAAACAAAATGGTGGTTGTGTAACCAGTCTTCTTCTTCGTCTTCATCCCAGAACAATAAATTTCTCCCCTATCCTTTCTGCACGAGGCTCAATTCGACTGCTGGTCTATAACTGATGGTCAGTTTTCTGGTTTTAATGGAGGATTGAAACAGGTAGGAATTCACCGGACGAAATTAATTTCAGTATCATTGGACTAGAAGTCTGTTGGTTGAATTATCGTTTAAGATTTCTAAATTATCCTTTCGGGTTTAAGGGTTAATTACATCAATAGCCATAGCTTTGAGCTCATCCAAATTGTTGATATATGTTGGATTTGGGTCTAGTTTAAGATTTATAAACTATCCTTTCGAGTGGAAGAGAAAACTACATTGATCTTCCTAACAAATTGTCATGAACTTAGATGTTTAATTTTTGAAATTCTTTCATCTCCTAATGCACGAGAAGTCGTCGTATTAACTTATTTTCCATCTCATTTTGTTTGTGCACAAACTTAAACTGCATATTCTCACATTCATATAGCAAAATGAATTTTTTTTGGATTGAAACGAGTCGATATAGATCATTGGCGACGAGATAACGTCACTAATTTTCAAACTTTAGAAGTTCGAATAAGTTGGAATTAAATTCAGATGTGTTGGTTCATATCAAAATTTTGTTTTGCTTTGCTTTGTGAACTATTTAAGTTCTCTGGTTAACATTTGGAGTTGACTAGTTAGTAGTTTGGTATTTTTGGAAATTTTATAGTGACCAGTTCATTAGCGACCAATTAGCCAGGTACCCCAAAGTCTCATCCAGTTGGCGCTTTCAGGTTGCACAACCAAACTAAACGACGCCGTTGCAGCTGTCTTCATCCTCCTCTCTCACTCAGCAGACAGCAAGTGCTACTGGTTTCAGTCTGTGCGTCTTTTCTGCAATCAAACATTTCGAACGCAGACGACTTCTTGATCTGTTTTGATCAATGGGTGTCGCCGGCAGGAAGGGAAAAGGTTACGCCTTTGCTGTATTCGCCGGCCTCAACGCCGCCTTCGCCGCCATTGCCGCCAAGTTCTTCTCTTTCTACGTAATTATTCTTATTCTCTTCTCCCCCTTTTCCCCCCACTGAGCTACACTGTTAATTGTCAAAAAAAAAAGCTACACTGTTAAAACGTACAACCAGATCGAATATCCCCTTTTCCCCTGATCTCCAGGATGTTTTCAGTACTAGTTTTTCAGTTTCCCAATCGATTTCGCCCAGTACCGCCATCTGACCTCGTCTCCGTGCAATTAAACTTTCCTCCCCAATTGTTTTTCACTTGCATATATATGGCAGTTTAATCTATGGCCTAGTGTTTTCACTTTTCTCCCACTTGCTGCAGATTATTCGATACGGCCTGGTGGTGGTGTTTAATGTCACGATGTGGGGTTGTTATGTTAATAGCCTCAAGGCTCTCTCGTCCCTACAAGCTACTGTTACGAACTTCGCCACCAATTTCATCTCCTCTGGCCTTGCTGGGTCCTTCCTGTTCAATGAAAGCTTGTCCAGTAAGGTAAAGTAGAGGGCATAATTCATTAACTGACATGGCCCCCCTGATCAATTCATTGCTTTTTTTTTCTTCTGTAGGCTGGGAGCTAAAGTGGGATCTTTTTTGTTTGCCTAACCACATTGGGTTGTTTGTTTTCTTTTTCCATTCCAGTGGTTTGCTGGTGCATTCCTCATTGTAGTTGGTGTGATCATACTCAGCAATTCAAGTATAGAACACAAGGAACGGACTGATTGATGTGAATCGATTTCGGTATATGTTGTGCTCGTGTTTTCGGCGGTACGAGAACCAGTGAGGCTAGGTCATTCTAACTTTAGAAACTATGTATGTTTCCATGTCTAGTGCTGTGCTTTGTGAAATTCATGCATGGTGAACCGCTGTCAGATGAGATTCATTCTTATGTGTAGTGTTGAGTTTTGTAATTTACATCTCGACTGTACGATGTCTCCAATTCGGTTGTGCTATGCTATGCACATGTCAGGCAGGCTCTTGTGTTTCCATTACGCATTGTTGGTTGAGCATAGTGAATCGGTTCTTTTATGCCTTTAATGATGAATTGATGAGTTGTTGGATTCTGACTGTCAGTTTGATGCAGTAGAATCTCAGGTTTTCACTGTCAGTTTTGAGGAAGAGTTCTTGTTAGTATGGCTGATCCGTAATGTGCTCCAAGTTCTGACTGTAATCTCCTTCCATTGGTGAAAATGGTGGCTGAAGTCAGCTCAGTTCTCAATTCTTAGCGATTGGGAGAGATTGGATTGTCGGTGATTGAAATACTATGTTCCCATGCGAAGTATTAGTTATGGATGTGATTTTGCATTAGTGACAAGACATTGTTAGCTGGGGATATTGAAGTTGCTTTGCTCAACTTTAAGCACCTTTGGATGCTCTTTGTTTCTGCATCTATATCGGTCACCCAACTTGTTCATTCTGGTTCCCATCATGTTCAATTCGTCATTTATTATAAGGCCAACCTTTGTCCTGCAACTGGTTTTTCACTTGAGCCGACAGTTGAGTTCATTCAATCACGTGGACACGCAGATGTCCATTCACAAAAGATCCAACCAAGCGTCAGCAAAGTGATGCATGGCGGGTTTTCAACCATGTATAGTTGACAGCTTCGAGATTGAGCTTGCTCAAAGAATTAGCTTGGTTGGTTCCTTTTCTGGTTCTTAATACCTTTTGTCTTTTGCCCATTTATGTAGCAGTGAGGTGATGTTCACTCTCGCTGGTCCAGTAGAAGGCTGGTCCTTTTAGTTGACACATTGTTAAAAATATGGACCATTAACAGCTTCTGTTGTTTTCTCTGGCTGAGCCTATTGGTCTAATCATGGTAGATAGGAGGATGGTGATTGCTGCATTTATTGTGGAATTTGTTTCCTGGTAAGATATGGAAATTTCAGTCATTTATTCATTGTAAAACAAAGTTTAGTTTGTAAGAAAGTTCATAAACTGCTCTGAATTTCTCAGAACTGCAATCATGTTATGCATAACTTGAAGAGCTGAGGTTGACCTGATCGCAATAAAAAACTGCACCAGTAAACACCATGACATAAAAGAACAAACAAGATTGCATTCAAGGTAAGTCATCCCTTTGCAGGCAATAAATATCTAACTTTTTATATTCTCTTGTGTTGTATGTATGATGTTGACCTTTCTCTCTCAGGAATCAAATAACTTCACAAACCTACTCCTAATCCGTTGCCACTAAGTATACTGGAGAGGAAGAACAGAACCTGGAAGAGCTAAGGGAGCCTGTTTGACAGAGAAGTGTTTAATTGTTCTTGAGTGGGATTTTGTACTTGAGTATGAGGAAATTTCTTTGTTTATGATGATTGGGAGATCCAGCATTGAACATAAAATTTTCTCTCTGCTGAGAGCAAAGGCATCGAAGCAGAAGAAAATTGTGGTTGGGTTGAAATCGGATACTCACAGCAGAGAAATGCTGCTGCGGGTTCTTCGTACTTTTGTGGATCCTGGAGATATTGTGTTAGCTGTTCATGTTCAACATGTATCTAGTAGTTTTGATCCAAATACTTTCCACATGCATGCAGATCTCTGCAAGTCTAAGCAGGTAATTAAATTTCTGAGTTTGCAACTGGAGAAAAGAGAGATGCAAATTATTTGGTGATGAATTGAACCATTGATTTTTGTTCATCTTTGTTTTTCTCCATCAAGGTTGATTTCCTTGTTAAGGAATGTCCTGGAGAAACCTACATTTCAGGATTAAGTAATCAAGTACGACTCAACTCTGCCACAGTCCTCATTCTTGGTTGCAGCCTTCCATGGTATGGTACTAACCACTCCAACAACTTTCGAAGCATCATCTCCATCTTCTGATACCACAGTTTTCTGCTTTTTCCCCAGGCCTAACGAGTCGGTAGTCAAGGCTTGCTTAAGAAGGCTGCCACCCACCTGCAACCTCCTGGTAATGAACAATGCCGGGAAAGTAATATTCCAAAGCCAGGGAACCTCTCAACAGGGATCCACTTCTCCAGTTCTTAGACCATCTCCATCTGAAAACAGTTACTTTCACCAGCCAAAAGCTGGGGCGCACCGCCAGTTGCAAAAGTCTTTCACTGCACCATCCTCCTCGCAAGATAAACCAGTTTCCAAAACGACGTTTGAGGTGCCAGAGAAGAAGATTCTCGACAGGCTGGCATGCTTACAAGCCACACGGTCCATAAGACGTTTCAGATGGCAAGAGCTCAACTTTGCTGCTGATGGTTTTAGCCCCCAGCGGTTGATTGGAACAGGTGGTAATAGTAAGGTGTATCAGGCCACACTTGGGGGTAATGGTCAGGCTGTAGCTATCAAAGTCCTGAAGAGCAAGGATTTAGAGGATCTTCTCCGTGAGGTGGAGGTTTTATCCGGGTTAAGGCACGAGAACATAGTGCAGATAATTGGTTTCTGTGATGGTAAGGAGATCCATGCAGTGGTCTATAATCTGTTGAAGGGAAGTCTCAAACAAAATTTGAGACAACTCGACTGGAAAGAGCGAATGGGGGTTGCGATTGGAGTGGCCAAAGCGCTTGAGTACCTTCATTGTTCTTTTACCCCTCCCATAGTTCATCGAGATGTGAAGTCATCCAATATTCTACTTTCTGAGAATATGCAGCCTCAAGTAAGTTACTTGTGAAATCACTTCCATAAGATTAACTTGCACATATTTTCTGGATGCCTAGATGAGATTCTTTTTTGTTGTTGTTATGCAGCTCTCAGATTTTGGGGCAGCAATAAGACTGCTCAAGCTTGACCAGATCCCAGAAAACAGAAAGCCATGTAGTATTGTTGGGACATTTGGCTACTTGGCTCCCGAGTATGTGATGTTTGGGAAGGTTGATGAGAAAGTAGATGTGTACTCTTATGGAGTTGTGCTCCTGGAACTCATCACCGGGAAAGAAGCCATTCAAACAAACCAGGCGAACAGCGAAAGCTTGGTATTATGGGTAATCAACTTTCAGAAAGGAAGCTTCTTTCTTCGTCTCGAAGTTCTCTATTATTTTCTCTTTAGCTATCTTGGTTTTCTGAATTTTAGAATTCACAGGCAAGATCTCTGTTGAGTTCTGGCTTGTGTGACCGATTAATTGATCCTCACCTAAATGGAGATTACAACAAGGAAGAGATGGAAATAGTAACGTTTCTTGCTCGGCTCTGCCTCATTCATTCTTCTCCTAGGAGACCATCCATGAAAATGGTAGGTTCTCTCCCTTCTATTTTCTTTGATTTTTTTCTTCGCTTTATGCATTCCATTTACCTAAGAACTCAATTGTATGGAACTCATTCTGAGCAGGTATTGAGATTGTTCAAAGAGCCAGAACACTGGAGAAAGATGCTGAGGAACAAGGACGAATTCCTCAATGAGAGCAGTTCCAAAGGCGAAATGCAGTTGGATCCACTGGATGACCAGGCGGCTAATGGTATGCCTGCTACTGAAGACTTGTATAATAAAATATTGTCTACGGAGTCATCAGATTTGTAAGTGTTACCACTGCTCAGAGATATTATTTAACTAAGGATACTTAAGCATCTGATTATAGAGAATAAAGCAAGCCTGTATACTTTCTAAGAAAAGGCATGTATACTGTATATGAAGCATGGCTATGACAGTAGATCGACTACTTCTTCTTGCTACTTCATTCAACTTCATTCCAACTGCTGAAGATCACAGATTTAGTGAACTTGTGCTAACGCCTGTAACATGTTTCTCATATCACTCGACCTTTTGAAGTTGTTCAACAGAATATTGTCAAACTATGACCAGCTATTTTAACTTGGCATGCCTCTAATCATCGGCCAGCATGCCTTATAGCTCGAACTCTAAAAGTAAAGAGAATTGGCTCCTAGAGATATACAATGAACAAGAAGTGGAAAGAGCTTTGCTTTGGAACATAAATGCAATGGGAAAGCAGGAAAAGCATGGCTGCTCTATTTTTTTATTGAGCCATCTGGTAAGTGATAAGTACTTTGTTGGGTCAATCAAGCCTCAGCCAACTGCTTGAAGTTGATTGGTGCGACAAAGAACGGTGGGCCGGAATAGAGAGTTACAGCAGCCAGCTGTGCAGCTTTCTGTGTAGGATGCAATAAGTCCCAGAACAAGTAATCATCGCGTATAGGGCAAAGATTAGCAGTTGGAGTGCATGGTGTTTGTGCATTCAGTGCTCCTTGTCCACAACATGCTCCTCGCCCATCTTTAAATCCTGGTTTTTTTTTCCCGCACAGAAGAATTTGCATAGAGTTAGTTGTTAAGAGAAAAAAACTGCTGAAGAATTTTCATTGATGCATGTAATTCTCACTTACCGAATCGATTAGGGTGGTTGATGACATTGATGGTGATTAGAAATGTATTCCCAATTGAAAACTTCATGTCATGATATTCTGAGCTGAGCTTATACATGAGCTGAGCAACTCTGGGATGGAAAGCCAGTGCAAGATCGTTCAACTCCTCCAAACAACCGAGGGTCTGATTGAAGAGCCTTTGAGACGGACAGCAGCCGATGGGTGCAACAGTAGCAATCCCAAACTTCCTTGCTCCAAGTTTCAGTAGGTTCTGTATGTTTTTACATATAAAGTTTATACATTTCTTACTCTCTAACACAGTTTATTGGAGGTTTTGCCAGGATTATTGTTGCTTACCCTTAAGTGCTTCTCATACGCTTGGACCAGAGAAGCTATGAACTTCTCCTTTGGTTGCTTGCTCTTTGAATGGTAATGCACAAAGAGGTCATTGGCTCCAATGCTGATAAAGAACAAGGATTTGGAGAGAAGATCTCTGGTTCCATGTTGCTTCCTTACAGCGAGAATTTTACGATAGACGTATGAAAGTTGATGTATTTGCTCAGACAACGAGACACCGTTCTTTTTGCTAATCGGAGAGCTGCTGGACGAATTGTTCAGCTCATCAGAAGACTTGAAAAAGCTGACCTGCAATGAGAAGGAATTAGATTATTCATAACTGAAAAACCTTAGTCTTCTGCAGTTTCAGGGAAGTGTTGGGTGAATAGATGCAAGCTTTTTTTTTTACCTTGGTTTGTACTGTGAGGTCAAAAACTCCTGAACCTCCTGAAGCGAAGTTGACACCTCTGAACTTAGACTTGGTGAAGCCTCTTGGTTTCTTCCTGAGAAGAAAGAAAGGGTCTGGGCTTCTGTTGTGTCCCATCAGTACAGCTGCAAATAACACAGTGTTATCATCAACCCATGATAAAAAGAATGTTTCCTTATCTAATGTTGGTGCTTGATCAGGGGAAGGGTACGTACCGAGCTGATCAGCAGTGTTGAATCCATTGCTGAACCTTCCAGTTGGCCTGGAGTAAAGGAAGTCAACCCCATTGCGAGGAAAATCTGCCCTGGCATTGCTTCCAGGCAAGAAGTTGTTTGTTCCAACGTCAACTGTGGAGTCCCCCAAGATAAAGATAGCAGGAGGTGAAGCTGCTGCTGCAGCACCCATAGCCGAGTTCGTACCAAACACACCAATGCATGCTAGAAAAAACAGCACAACAGCTTCAAAATTCTCCATTGAACTTCCTCTTCTGCTTGAGAAGCTTTGCGCTTTGTTGATATCTTTCTGGTAAATGGGTATGGAGGGTACTTATAGTTATACTGTTGGAGGCCGAAAGGCGAAATGACATTGACATTCCTACGAGAAGGAAGGCTCTACTCTCCATGTTCAGTGAAGCTTCGGGAGCTGACCGTTTCAAAAGGCGCATTGTTCTCAGGCACGCTTTGGAAACTAAGGAAAAATCGGCTTGCCATGTTGTCTCGATGAGGACTTGGAGGCGTATATTTGCAGGCTTGGCACATTGTTTGTCAGTACCTGCTTGTAATAGCACAAGCATGGGCTTGGCTCAGCCGCCCCCAGGCTGTTTGGTATCATGGAAAACTAACGAACTACTTTGGAAGATACTGGCCAAATACACAGGTTGCTTTCCTACTTTCCTTTTAGCTAGAATTGCTATTTGGTAGGGTGGCGAACCGGTCAGGTTGCACCTTACCAAACCGGAGTAGAGCGAATCTGCACCCAAATCGGAATAAACTTCGGTGTGTTCAGCTGGTGTTCCGGTCAAACCGTAACGGATGGTTTGTGGTTCATTCTTTTTTCGTGGTTTGGTGTGGTTTGAACCGAACCGATCGTATGCTGACTCCTACGTTTATGGGGAATCTAAGAGGAGAAAAATGAGAAACGAATTGCTCGATAACCTCGAGAAATCAGTCTTGAGTTTCCCCCGCTTCCAAATATTGAAAAAGTGAATGTGAAGAATATTGATCTTAGATTATTATTAGATTTTCTTGTTCAGGAAGCAAAACAATGAAATGCTGCGAATGAAATGATAGACAAAGAAACATCAGAGAGAAAGAAATGGGATCATTTAGAAGGCGGCAGCCAACTGCTTGAAGTTGATGGGGGTCACAAAAGGTTGGCCGCCATTGTAGAGGTCCGAAGCAGCAAGCTTTGATGCAGCCTGTGAAGGGTGGAACATGTCCCAGAACAGCATCTCGTCCCGGTTCGTGCAAACGTTGGCATCAGGTGTGCAGAAGAAATCCGCATTCAGCTTCCCGAGTCCACAGCATGCTGTATTTATGTTCTTGAATCCTTGGAGAGAAGGGAAAAAAAAAGGCAAAAAAGGTTTGACACTTCAGAACCAGCAAAAGAAAGATTGTGTCACAAGTATATATATATATATATGTCTTTCTTGGCAAACAAGTTATTTATTTATTTATAAACAGAGTGTTCTGGTTTTGTATAGTTGTGTTACCGTATGATGCAGGGCTCTTGATCAAATTCATGGTCATCGAGTAGGTATCCCCGATCGAGTATTGCATCCCATCGAATTCCGAGCTGAGGTGTGCCATCATGGTTTTGACCTTGGCATTGAAGGAAACGGCCAACTCGTTCAAGGGCTCCAAGCAGCCTGATGTCTGGTTGAATCTCCTCTGAGATGGGCAGCAGCCAACTGGTCCCGTGGAAATGATCCCAATCTTCCTCACTCCAAACCCAAGCATTGTCTGCAGAATCCATAACACATCCAGAATGGTAAGTAACAAATGCTCCAATATATCAGTTGTCAGCAATGGTGTCAAAAGTTGGGCATTGAATTGATTCACCAATTTCGTACTTACCCTCAAATGTTTCTGGTATGTGGCTGTCACTTGAGAGATGAACTGTTCCTTTGTCGAGCTGCTGCTGCTGCTGCTGTTGTCATGGTCATAGTGGAACATGTCATTGCTTCCGATGCTGATGATGAACACTGAGGTCGCGAGGTAGTCTGCCGCGGTTTCAGCACCTTTGAAGCTGGCGAGCCTCGAGGAGATGGAGCCCAGTTGCTGAACCTGCTCGCTCAACGGGACAACCATCTTCACTCCATCCTGTTGTGGAAGACATTCCATCACGAGTCAAGTGAAAAAAACAACCAATTACATCCCAATAACACGAAACTCGTTACAATTACGATTAAATCGTGGATTGAGATTGTACCGGGCTAAGTCCAGTGGTGTCAAGAATGCCAGACCCTCCTGATGCAAAGTTCACACCTTTGAAGCTCGAGTTGTTCAGAGGAGCTGTGCCATTCCCAAGCGAGAAGAAAGGTGGTGGACTCATTTCCAATCCCAGCTGCTTAGCTGATCGAAACATTCGTCATCTTTTTAATTGAACAGATATAATTTGCAGAATGTAGAATGAACCAAAAGGAGGGCACAAACCAAGAAAGTCAGCAATGTTGTAGCCATTGCTGAACCTGCCAGTAGCCTTGGAGCCAGGGAAGTCGATCCCATTGTGAGGGAAATCAGCTCTGTCGACGCTTCCCGTCAGGAAATTGTTGGTCCCAACATCAACTGTGGAGTCTCCCAGCACAAACACAGCAGGCATTGTTGCTTCGGCCGAGCTCGTCATCATCATCATCACCATTATACCAATGCCAGCAAGTGAAAGCACAAAGCTTCTTGTGGTGATCTCCATTTCTAGCGTCTTTCCTTAAACTCTTGTCTCTCTCTCTGATGTAGTAGGAAAAGGAATTGGATGGAAAGCTGTGAAAACTGAGGTGGTGGTGTGGAAGTACTTAATATGGAAGGAAATTTGTGGGCTCTTTCAGCTGGCAAGAAATAGCATCTGTGTCACTCTTTTCAGTGAATGCTACTATTTGGAATCATCATGCAGTTATAGTATTGGATGAAGATTACTAAAATTGGTGCTATTGCCCATTGGGGAGGGAGAATGAAACTTTTGGGAAAGGGGAAAAAACTATTGTCACCTTATAGGTGATACAACACAAAAAAGGTTAATAAAGAAAAAAGGAAAATATTGTAAATTGATGAATCAGATATGGCAACAGAAAACCTTTCAAATAAAATTGAAAAATTAGTAGAAAATAATAGATGACTATTAGAAATATGTTATAAATATAATTGAAGAAAATAATAAATATTAAAGGAAAATTTTAGAATGTCAATGTAAAGGAAAACAAAAAGAATTGTACTCTGATTTAGAATTAGCAAAAGATATGGTTAAAAACATTATAACAAATATACGAGATAAAAATAAAATAGTAGCCGAATCTAGTGAAAACTCTAACGCTATTATTTTATCAGAAGTAGATCTAAAGGAAATAATTATTAAACTTCAAGAAATAACAATAAAATTAGATGATAAAAGATGTGTTACCATTGAAGACTTGGAAGAATATTTAAGAACCAATAAATTGAATGCACCCAATTGGCTTACAATCGTAGCACCCTACAATCTTTTATGACAACCATTGATGAACAAATTAATAAACTAAATGGTTTACTAGCCGTTATAAGCATAGATTCAGAACCAGAAGAAAATATTGAAAATGAAAAAATAGTTCCGGATTATAGCAACGATGAAAATCCTTATACAAATTATGTAAAAACAAAAGAAGCGGAAACATCTAAAAAACGTAATTATGAAAAATTTTCTAGTGGACAATTCTCGTACGAAGAATGTTTGTACAAAAATTCTTACACTCCTCGTAAGGAGGGATGATAGAGTAAAATACCACACTCATATCAATAAGATAGAAGAAGATGATTATTTTCTAGATGAAATAATTTATATTAAAAAAATAAAAGAAAAAACTAACTTCACTTTATCATATAAACAAAATTTTGTCACAAAATCCTTAATTAATAGATTATTCGATAGGGAAAACATAATTAAATATAGTAAAATGATAGGAGAAATTGCAGTTCCAACTGCCCAAACCAATGGGAATTTCCTAATACAATTTATTAACAAGGAACAAATTAGAATAAGGTAAGAAAAGGTCAAAGAAGAAGAATGAAAAAACATAAGTTATATTCATATGAGCACAATACAGATTGTTCTAAAAAATAACAATGAAAATGGGCATAAACACTGCAATAGATTTAGAAATAAAGGATGATAGACTAGCTAGTAAACCTTGATGAAAGAATAATAGCCAAAGGATCAGGAAACTTAGGACTTGGAGTTATAAAATTTGATATTAACCTTAAACAAGGATTAAGTTTATTTGACGAAAACCTGGATTCATCCATAACTATAAAATACAAACTTAAGCAAGAGAATTTCATGAAAGAAAATAGTAAATCATTTTTAGTAACCTATCAAATTAATTATGCTCTAACAAACAACCATCACAGCTTAGGTTTCAAGGATAAGGAAGTCATAACTATAGAAAACCTTTTCAAACCTCTTGTAAATTTGGAAGCACCATTTAAAACCGTAAGAATTGAACCTCTGCACTCTGTGGGATTTCAGAAACACTTATCGAAGTTATTCATAAAACAGAATTTATAACAGATATCATTAGTAGTTTAGAAAAATAAAACGTAAAATTATTGATAACACATCTTCATCCATAAAAAATTAAAATTATGACGATAGGTGGAGAAATAAGGGCAATAAATCTAACAAATATAGAACACAGACGACAACAAATAGGTGAATTACAAGGAAAATTATCCTATGAAATTAGAAGTCACCAATCATCCTCATCTTTTTTCCGTGGTTTGGTGTGGTTTGAACCAAACTGATCGTATGCTGACTCCTACGTTATGGGGAATCTAAGAGTAGAAAGATGAGAAACGAATTGCTCGAAGAGAAATCAGTCTGAGTCCCCCCTCCAAATATTGAAAAAGAGATTTGAAGAATATTGATCTTAGATTTTTATTTGATTTTCTTGTTTAGGAAGCAAAACAATGAAATGCTGAGAATGAAATGATGACAAAGAAACAACAGAGAAAGAAATGAGATCATTTAGAAGGCGGCAGCCAACTGCTTGAAGTTGATGGGGGTCACAAAAGGTTGGCCGCCATAGTAGAGGTTCGAAGCAGCAAGCTTTGATGCAGCCTGAGTAGGGTGGTACATGTCCCAGAATAGCATCTCGTCCCGGTTCGTGCAAACGTTGGCATCAGGTGTGCAGAAGAAATCCGCATTCAGCTTCCCAAGTCCGCAGCAAGCTGTATTTATGATCTTGAACCCTGAGAGGAAGAGGGCAAAAGCGTTTCACACTTCAGAACCAGAAAAAGAAAGATTGTGTCACAAGTATATATGTCTTTCTTGGCACACAAGTTATTTATTTATAAGCAGAGTGTTCTGGTTTTGGGCAGTTGTTCTTACCATATGATGCAGGGCTCTTGATCAAATTCATGGTCATCGAGTAGGTATCCCCGATCGAGTACTGCATCCCATCGAAATCCGAGCTGAGGTGTGCCATCATGATTTTGACCTTGGCATTGAAGGAAACAGCCAAGTCGTTCAAGGGCTCCAAGCAGCCTGATGTCTGGTTGAATCTCCTCTGAGCTGGGCAGCAACCAACTGGTCCCGCGGCAATGATCCCAATCTTCCTCACTCCAAACCCAAGCATTGTCTGCAGAATCCAGAATAGTAAGTAACAAATGTTCCAATTTATCAGTTAAGAAGTAATGGTTGACCAATTTTGCATTTACCCTCAAATGTTTCTGGTATGTGGCTGTCAGTTGAGAGATGAACTGCTCCTTTGTCGAGTTGCCGCTGTTGTCGTGGTAATAGTGAAACATGTCATTGCTTCCAATGCTGATGATGAACATGGAGGTTGCGAGGTAGTCTGCCGCAGTTTCAGCACCTTTGAAGCTGGCGAGCCTCGAGAAAATGTTGCCCAGTTGCTGAACCTGCTCGCTCAGCGGGACAACAGTCTTCACTCCATCCTGTTGTGGAAGACAATTCATCACGAGTCAAGTGAAAAAAAAACAACCATTACATCCCAATAACCCGAAACTCGTTACAATTACGATTAAACGGTCGATTGAGATTGTTACCGGGCTAATTCCAGTGGTGTCAAGAATGCCAGACCCTCCTGATGCAAAGTTCACACCTTTGAAGCTCGAGTTCTTCAGTGGAGCTGTACCGTTCCCAAGCGAGAAGAAAGGCGGTGGGCTCATTTCCAATCCCAGCTGCTTAGCTGATATAAAGATCATAATGATTTAATAACAAACCCTTCAAAGTTTGAACAAATTGGATCTTCTACAATTTTTGTTACCATGCTTTCGTTTCGAGGTGATCTATACTGTAATGAACCAATTTTCGACACAATTTGCCGAATGTAGAATGAACCAAACAGAAAAGAGAGAGGGCACAAACCAAGAAAGTCAGCAATGTTGTGGCCATTGCTGAACCTGCCAGTAGCTTTGGAGCCCGGGAAGTCGATCCCATTGTGAGGGAAATCGGCTCTGTCGATGCTTCCCGTCAGGAAATTGTTGGTTCCAACATCAACTGTGGAGTCTCCCAGCACAAACACAGCAGGCATTGTTGCTTCGGCCGTGCTCGTCATCACCACCACCATCACCATAACTGCAATGCCAGCAAGTGAAACCACAAAGCTTCTTGTGTTGATCTCCATTGCTAGTGTCTTTCCTTAAACTCTGTCTCTCTCTGGTGTAGTAGGAAAAGGAATTGAAGTAGAAAGCTGTGAGAACTGAGGTGGTGGTTTGGAAGTACTTATATGGAAGGAAATTTGTGGGCTTTTTTCAGCTGGGAGGGGAAATGGCAAGAAATAGTATCTGTATGTTTTGACACTCTTTTCAGTGAATGCTACTATTTGGAATCATCATTGAGTTGTAGCATTAGATGAAGATCACTAAAATTGGTGCTTCTGCCATTGGGGATGGAGAATGAACTTTTTGGGAAAGTCCTGGTTTTTTTATCTGAGCCTTGGGCCTCCACTTACCTGGCTCAACAGACTTCGGCCCAAGAACTATGAAGCTTTAGGCCCGCTGGAGCCCAACTCAAAGGGGTTGAGTAAGAGCTCGATTCATGCGGTGTCATCCTTGCATAAAGAACAATGCTAATTTTCTTTGTATCCTTTCAATTTCGTCGGAGATCCCCGAAAGGACAGTTGAGCATGAAAAACTAAAAATGTCCGGATGGCAATTTTGGATGGATCAGTGCAAGCTGACTTATCACGATCAGTTTCAAATGGGTATTGTTCGTCTCGCAAGCGGTGTGGAATGAAACATGTCTTACCTTTGTTTCCATCTTGATCTTTCTATCTAAAATCTCTCCAATTTTAACACATATTTATACTATCTTGACCCCTCCATATAACATCGTCGCTATGACCTGAAGCGAACCTCCATTTAACAAAATTAATTCTCTCCCTATTCCCTAGTAATTTATATAATATATTTCGTCAATATTTTTCATGCGAAAACCAAAATATTACGTGCATATTATCCAATTACACACCAAACTCAACCTCAACCCAAGCATACATAGAACGTACAAAAGTATCAAGATACTTGCCTCGGCTCGCCTGATCGGCCATCGCCGTTCCGAAATTCAGCACCCAAAATAGCTTTAACTAGATGACTTCAATTTAAAATGTTTGCTTACCCCAAATAATACTCTAATGATTGCAGTAATCAAAAGAGGCGATAATTACTGGAAATTAAAACGTAGAAAAATAAATCTAATAAAAATCTCGATACCAGCACAGGAAAAATACAATAAATCGGCCTCCCATTCCCAAGCTCCGATGGTATCCGAATAAAACAAATTTAACTAAGCTGAGAGTTCCAGTTAATGGAAACACTCTTTCTCTAAAGTCTAAATGATGATCAAGAACACGATTAACCGAATAAATCATAATTAAATTAAGATAATTAACAAGCAGTGTGAATAAGATTTCCTGGTATGACTTATACGAACTTGATTCATTTATAATTATCCGACAAAATGTTGTCATTTTATTTCATTTATTCTCTCGTGATCATGAACTCTAATTCCAGCGTTTTCCGCGTAGAACTGGAAACTCTCCGAATTGATTCAGGGCCGTTGGATGAGGAGGATGCGTGGGATGTGGTACAGTTGATGGAATCAGAACCGTTGGATGTACGGGAAAGTGGCCGGAGCCACACGGAGGCCCCGTGCGTCGCCGTTAGTGATCACGGGGATCATAATCCGCCGTCGGTTAGGTTAGCTATAGTTGTGCGGAGACGACAGCTAGTTTTGGGATGCACGATCAAAATGGAAATATAGTTGGAATTTTTGTTGTTGATACTATGTTTTTTTTTTTTTTTTACTTTTACCATACATAATGTGGTTTAACTCAGGTTAAAAACGTGCCGTAGGTTAGCCAAACAAAGGAGGGATAAAAGTAGTTTGTTTGTACATACATTTTTGGGTAAATAATTTTAGTTTGGGTGTATGGTATATCTTTTGATTATTGTTGAGTGCATGTTATACATCTCAGCCTCATCGTATTGATCATTCGTTACGCCTTGAACGAGTTTGAGATTCCATCATATAATGATACACAAGAAAATTTATTAATTATCGGCTTATATTTTGATTTTTAAGTGCTTCTCAAACTAGTTCAAATAGGTATGAATTCCATAATTTATTGAATGAGTTTGAGATTTTTGACTTTTTATATAAACTTTTTTGACGCCAAAGTTTTTACATATAGCAGTTTAATTTTGTTTTACCACAATACCTAGATAAAAAAGCAAACTGGTAAAAATTGATAGAGGTACAAAACTCAGAACTGTGAAACTTATAAAACTCTGTGTCTTACGACCCTGGATAGTATGAATCATACTAGTATGGTATGATCATATTAGGAGATGGTAAAATTCGTCTGGACTCAGAAATGATAAGACAATATTATGTAGGTTTTTTAGCCCCTAAATTATGTATCTTATCACACACCTTAAATTATTTCTAATTAACTCATAAAAAACCAATTTTCATCAAACAACAATAATCCAAATATTAGACAAAGATTGATCAGATGAACAATCCATTTCACACTCTTACTCTTCAATTTTATTTTGTATTTTGATTTTACCCAACATTAAAAAAAGAAAATACCCACTCTCAAACTCTTTCTAAGATCCTTCACCTTGTTTCCATAATTTCCTCATATTAAATACCAAACTCCGATCAGTTACTCCAAAAACCAAAAAACCCCACCGAGAAAACTTCACTTTCACCATCACCGCAGTCTTCTCCATCCTTCAATCTCCTTCCATCCCCGATCTCACTTCCTTCTTCTCTGTAACCAACAAGGTTATAGAAAAGAAGGAGGTCTCCTTTTCTCAATCGCTCTCTCGATCAGCAGCAATGAGAACCATAAGGTGCCAGCTTCTCCTACTTTCCGCCGCCGTGGTCTTGCTCTGTTCCGCCGTCGTTTTCGTCAGCGCCGGAAATCCCATCAGGAACTTCGAGTGGACTGTCACTTACGGCCAAATCCAGCCTCTCGGCGTCAAACAACGGGTAACCCATTATCCTTCGCCTCATTTTCTCCAATGGGTCGGGTCCAAAATTGATTTTTTTCTTAGCTGCTGCAGATCATAATTCTCTTTTGAGATAAGGTACTCAGAAGATTTTGCGGTTACCAGAATTTTCTTAATTTTGATTTGATCTTTCTGCTCGTGCAGGGGATTTTGATTAATGGCAAATTCCCAGGCCCGACGATTCAAGCCGTCACCAACGATAATCTCATCATCAACGTCCACAACCACCTCGACGAACCTTTCCTAATCTCCTGGTCAGTAATCGTATCTCCATAAAAACAGGGGAGGAAGAAACAGAATTTCGTTTGATTCTCATCTGACTCTGTTTCACTTTGACTCTGTTTTTCCCCCCCTCAGGAGCGGGATTCAGAACAGGAAGAACTCGTACGTGGACGGAGTCTACGGCACGACTTGCCCGATCCCGCCGGGCCAAAACTACACGTACAAGCTTCAGGCGAAGGATCAAATCGGAACGTATTACTACTTCCCTTCCCTCGGCTTCCACAAGGCCGCCGGTGGGTTCGGCGCAATCAATGTCCTCAGCAGGCCGATGATCCCCGTGCCGTTCGCTCCGCCGGCCGACGACATCAATGTCCTCGTCGGAGACTGGTACAAAACCGACCACAAGGCTCTGAGAGCTAAGCTCGATAGAGGTCACAAAATTGGTCTCCCTCATGGCGTTCTGATCAATGGTCACGGACCTCGTTCCCCTCCCACTTTCACATTCCAATCTGGTAAGTAACAGAATTTTAATCCGTAACGAACTTCTTATTCGATAGTATCGATCGATTAATTTTACTTTCGATTTCTCTGTTTTTTTTCAGGAAAGACGTACAGGTTGAGGATCACAAACGTCGGGTTGCAGAGCTCGTTGAATTTCAGGATTCAGGGGCACGACCTGAAACTGGTTGAGGTGGAAGGAACCCACACGGTCCAAACGGTGTATTCCTCGCTGGACGTCCACGTCGGACAGTCGATGTCGGTTCTCGTGACAGCAGATCAGCCGGCGAAGGACTACAGGATCGTCGTGTCGACTCGTTTCGTCAAGAAGGTCCTCACTTCCACCGCGACTCTACACTACGAGAACTCCGATGGACCTGCCTCCGGCGAAATCCCGAATTCGCCCAAGAAGATCAGCTGGTCCATCAAACAGGCCCTTTCCATCAGGTAAACATGTACATTTTATCAGAGAGAGGTCTCGCGTTTGAACCTTCACGCGTTCTGTCATTTGATTGGGTTTCTTTGGTGGTTGTCAGTGTCAAGAACCAGTTGCTCCCAATAACTCGAGTTGTTGGGAGAAGGTTTTGCTGGATCTTATACCACTCTCTAACACGCCCCCTCAAACGAAAGCCAACCCATGGGCTTGAAGTTTGCACAGGCCCACCATACCATGTGCTTGAAAGGCAACAGTTAATATTGGGGGTCGTGGAGATTTGAACACATGACCTTTCGGTTCTAGGCTCTGATACCATGTCAAGAACCAGTTGCTCCCAATAACTCGAGTTGTTGGGAGAAGGTTTTGCTGGATCTTATACCACTCTCTAACAGTCAGGACGAATTCGACTGCGAGTGCAGCGAGGCCGAACCCACAGGGCTCGTACCACTACGGACAGGTGAACATTACGAGGACGATCATCCTGGAGAGCGCGGCGGCTCAGGTCAATCGGAAGCAGAGATACGGGATCAATGGAGTCTCGTTTATTCATCCCGATACTCCGTTGAAGCTGGCGGATCACTTCAACATTCCTGGAGTGTTTCAGGTCGGCAGCATTCCTTATGCGCCTCCCGCGCAGCCGAGGAAGCTTCACTTGAATGCTTCGGTGATGGAGACCGATTACAGGACGTTTGTGGAGATTGTGTTTCAGAACCGTGAGAAGATCGTACAGACTTATCATATCAATGGTCACTCCTTCTGGGTTGCAGGGTGAGTTCGATTGTGAAGATTGGGATCTTTTTCTTATCATTTTGAGCTTCAGATTTTTGTTTTTGGGTGTTTGGCCGACATTGCCAAGTCTCTGAATTTTGGTTTTGGGTCAGGATGGACTTGGAGACCTGGAAGCCGGAAAGCAGGAAGGGGTACAACCTCAACGATGCCGTCTCACGATACACTGTACAAGTGAGTGTGGACTAATTACATACCTTATTAAGAAAATTGTTTACTCTTCTACGTATACTCATTATTAACTAGGGCTGGGAAACGGTGCGGTTGTAGGTCTATCCGAGGTCATGGACGGCCATCTTCGTGGCACTCGACAACGTAGGAATGTGGAACGTGAGGTCGGAGTATTGGCAGAGACAATATCTTGGAGAACAGTTTTATCTAAGAGTCTTCACCACTTCGAACTCGTTAAGGGACGAGTACCAAATGCCAGAGGACTCTCTCCTATGCGGCAGGGCCAAGAACATGAAGCCATAAAGTTCCAAAGAGCTAGTTCCTTAGAACTAGGAGAGAAAAATTATTCGTCATGATTCATTTAGATTACTCTTGGTATATCTCGGATTGAGGTTTCTGGTTTTTCTTTCTTCCTTTTGTGGTTTGCTTAGGTATAGTTTGCAATTCATCTTCTTTCATGTTTCTTTTTCTTGTTCTTCTCTTTTGGGGTCTGATTTGTGCTAATGAAGTCTAGAAGTTGAATGAGTCATCTTTAATCCAAATTATGTACGAAAGAGCTTGTTATGCTTCGACTGAATTTGCAGTTCTGTAAACGCTTCAAACGCCAAAAAACGCGACGTGACGAAAAATATCTAAAAGTGATATAGATGACATCCGGAATAACGATTTTTAAAAAGATTGATAAATCAAACAAAGTAATCGAATGTGAGTCGTGTAATCTGTAATGTTTAATTTAGATATATTTCGTATAATGGACGGGTGTGGATGAGGTGATGACCCATGGGATATTGGTCCAGACCCACTATTTCTGATGGGCTCAAACTCATTATCCCATTCGTCAAGGTCCAATCCAAGTGTATCCAAGACCCAAACACACATGGTTGAAACCTGCAGGTTAATTTAGAGATTCGGTTTTATGATTTGATATTAAAATTATCTGCTGAAAAAAAACAAACACATGCAGTTTGCCGCACGATAAATAAATGAAAATTGGTGCATGCATGCAATTATTATTATTATGAAAGTATAAATAAATCAAGATAGGATTCCCAGGTGAAGATCAAATCTTGCCCTTTGATTTGTGGTATAAATCCCCCACAATATTTAAAGAAGAAAAGCCGCTCTGGAAGACTTCAATCTCATGTGAAATTATCCTTTCCTAAAACATATCCAAGGATTGTGTCTTTTAGGTCACGATGACATTGAGAGAGAGTTGGGAGTATGCAATATTACATAAAATTGATGCTTGAATTGAATATTTTTTGAATATAATGGGTCTGGTTTTTATTCCTGTGAATTTTATACATATTGCAGAAACAAAAAACTCACTTGACATTTAAACCGCATCAAACCAGTCTGAATACAATGTTGGTCTCAGTGGCAGACCTAGGTTAGTCCAAGCCTTGTCAATTGACAAACCTTGTTTCCATTTTTTGACAAAATTCCTTTGTAAACTTATATTTTACGATGGTAGTATTTGAACTCAAGACTATTTGACAATCCTTGGTGATCTATTTCATCTTTGAATACCCTTGATGTAATTCCTGGGTCCGCCACTGGTTGGTCTGATCCTTGAGGCTAAAATGTCTTTCACTGTTGGATTGTGATTCTCTTGTTGAATTTTGTTTTAGTCCGGACAATTCCACACCCTTTCATACAAACGATTGAATCAAACTGCTCTCGCTTATCTCTCTCTCATCATCAATGGTTGCCCCCGCTAAGACTCATAAGCTAACTCATCGTTGGAATTCAAACATAATACATATCGATCATAAACAATATCAGTTAGTACTATTTTTTTTTACGAAATATCAGTTGTTACTAGTAACACGAGTTTGTCAACAAATAATTATCATTTTATTTTAACTAACCAATAATATTGCATTTAGTTATTTACAAATTTGATCAATATTCTCAACCCCAACAACTCCACCCGTCAAGTTTAGAAAGATGATGCACTCTGTTATGGAAAAACTTTTGACGTAGCGATCTCTGTAACCAAAATTCAGGTAAAGGGTCAAAAGCTGCCGCCATCTCCTTTGTCTTCTTCTTCTTCACTGTCAAAAGAATGGCTACACCCCCAAAGAAAAGAAGAAAAAAACGTTTCTCCATCTTTGGAGCTTTCCATTGCAGTGGGCCCACCTCCGCCATTGTCCTTCTTCTCCCGGAAGCTCATCCATTTCTTAATGGGCTGGCAAGCAGTTGGATTCAATTCAACTCTCTGCTGCTTTCTTCCGCCATTGGTATTTAATGCCTGCACCCCGCAAACGTTTGATGTTTTGTCCTGTCGCCCTTGCTCTGGGTTCCTTCACATGTCCTAAGATCTGATACACCTCACTGCCTGCTCCATTATTTTAAGTATATTTACTCTTGATTTGCCGCCCCCAAGCCGGGAGCTTTATCAACGCTTCAAAGCTCGTTTCTTCTCACTCTCGCACTCGCCCAAGTTGGCAAAATGGGGAAGCTCTTCTTCTTCTACTCCTCCTCCTGCTGCCTTCTCTTCTTCTTATTGCTCTGCTTCGAACTGGGTTCGGCGGGGAACGTGACGTACGATGCCCGCTCTCTCATCGTCGACGGCCAGCGGAAGCTCCTCATCTCTGCTTCCATTCATTACCCGCGCAGTGTTCCCGCGGTAATTCTCTCGCTCTCCCCTTTTCGCGCGCGACCCGTTTGATGAAATGCCTGAAAGACGGTTTCTTTCTCTTCTTTTTTGATGTTTGGAGTTCTTGTTCTGAGTAATGTGTGTCGGTGTGGCAGATGTGGCCGGGCTTAGTGCAGACGGCGAAGGAAGGAGGGGTGGACGTGATTGAGACGTATGTGTTTTGGAATGGCCATGAGATTGCTCCTTCCGTTGTGAGTAGAATGAAAGTGAAACGAAGCTACTTACCTTCGTTTTTGTAATGGTTATCTATCATCGACCTGGGGGGACGTTTGCTCTGTTTTGGCTTTGTTGACGGTTTGCTTGTTTTGGGTAATGTAGTACAATTTTGAAGGAAGATTTGACCTGGTCAAGTTCGTGAAGACTGTTCAGCAGGCTGGAATGTACTGTATTCTTCGTATTGGCCCTTTTGTTGCAGCTGAATGGAATTATGGGTATGCTTATCTAGTAGACAATGAACTTTCCAAATTCCAATTACAGTATCCAATCTTCCTATTTGGTATTTGTTTATGTTTTACATGAATAATGTACCCTTCTCACCAATTTTTTAATTTGTTTAGAGGTGTACCTGTTTGGTTGCACTACATACCTGGAACTGTGTTCAGAACAGATAATGAGAACTTCAAGGTAATGGAAATGATTCTTTTGGATGCCTAATTTACTCAGATCAGTTGTATCTCAAGCATGGGAGGTAAGGTGATTGTCTTTTGATGGTCTGGTTTACTTGTTTGGCGTCTCCAGTTTTATATGCAGAGATTCATGACCTACATTGTAGATCTCATGAAGAAAGAGAAGCTTTTTGCTTCTCAGGGAGGTCCTATCATCTTGTCCCAGGCAAGTACATACCTATCAATCTTCCATCGAAGACGAGTAATCTTTCGTCATTCGCAATTGATCATGGCCGGAATTTGGTTTCTTTCCAAATTGCAGGTGGAAAATGAATATGGATATTATGAGCAAGGCTATGGAGAAGGTGGGAAGAGATATGCCCAGTGGGCAGCTAAAATGGCTGTTGCTCAAAATACTGGCGTTCCGTGGATAATGTGCCAGCAGTATGATGCTCCTGACCCTGTGGTGAGAGGCTTATAGATTTAGCATCCCAAGTATTTTTTAGATGTTCTGTAATTAGCTGAAACTTACAGTTATCATGTGAGTCGCTAGGATTGTTATTCCATCAGACACAGTAACTAGTTTCTCTTTGGCTAATATTTGCAAGCATGTATATGCTATGCTCCTTCTTCCTTTTCTCCTTATTTACTTGGTTCTTTGCTTTTTATCATGCAGATTGATACCTGTAATGGATTTTACTGCGATACATTTAAACCTACTGCTCCACATAGGCCGAAGATTTGGACCGAGAATTGGCCTGGATGGTAATTGCTGATTCGCTTTGTTTACCATGTTGTCAGTTAGCTCCTGAGAGTTTTATGTGAGAGTCATGATTTGGCTATTATTCTAGTTCCAAAAGTTCATCACGACTCTTAATTATACTCAACATGTTTCATTAGTGCTTTGCTAATAATCCGTTACTATTTTCAGGTTTCAGTTATTTGGGGCCCCTAATCCTCACAGGCCAGCTGAAGATGTTGCTTTTGCTGTGGCTCGATTCTTCCAGAAAGGCGGCACTGTGAATAATTACTACATGGTAGCTTCTTATTATCCATCTTGCTACCTAGTTGTATATGATATTGTAGCTCAGTTGTTTAAACCAGTTAGTCTATGATTTTCAGTATCATGGAGGAACAAATTTTGGTCGCACTGCTGGTGGACCATTTATTACCACCAGCTATGACTATGAAGCCCCAATCGACGAGTACGGTGAGTGACCAATATGCTACCTTTTCTCTTTGCATTTGTAGCTATGCACACTGAATAGACATACCTAATGGCACCTGTAGTCTAATACAAGTATCATGCCGGTGTTCTTGTGGTTGATAAGGTTTACCTAATCTTCCAAAATGGGGACACCTTAAAGAACTCCACAGAGCTATAAAGCTATGTGAGAACTTGTTGCTAACCAGCAACCCGGTCAACATCTCCCTAGGCCATTCTCAAGAGGTAACTTCTGCATCTTAGCCTGGTATAAATGGAAAATCGTTTATGCTTTTTCATAATTCATGGCATTTGGGCGACTTCCTGAACCATTTCCTGTTTCAGGCTGATGTTTATGCTGATGCATCGGGCGGTTGTGCTGCCTTTCTAGCTAACACAGATGATAAAAATGACGTGACTGTCACATTCAGGAATGCTTCATACCACTTACCGGCTTGGTCAGTCAGCATTCTTCCTGACTGCAAGACAGAAGTATACAATTCTGCGAAGGTACATCGTCCTGATATGCAACCGCATTGTGCACCATAGAGAAGCAACTCTTGTGAAACTTCCATATATAACTCGTCTTATTTTTTCAAAATTTTGAACAGGTAACATCCCAGGCTTCTGTGATTAAAATGGTTCCGGAGGACTTGAAGCCCTCAGTACAGTCATCAAAGAAAGACTCCAAATCCCTGAACTGGGAAGTGTTTGTGGAGAAAGCCGGCATTTGGGGAGAAGCTGACCTTGTCAAAAGCAGCTTGGAGGATCACGTCAACGTTACAAAAGATGCCAGTGATTACCTCTGGTACACAACAAGGTTGGTTGTTACCCTCAATCAGAATCTAGGAACTACTGTTTTCTTATTTTGCAAGTAACATAAACCCACCACTTAGAACTTATTCTTGTTACCATTCTTGGCAGCATTACTGTCAGTGAAGATGAATTGTTCTTAAAGCAAGGACGGTCTCCAGTTCTAATGATTGACTCAAAGGGTCATGCTGTCCATGTCTTTGTCAATGGGCAACTTCAAGGTTTTTTTTTTTCCTTTGGGTTTCTTCGGAAGCAATTCCACTTTTGTTTCTAACCTCCTCGATTGAGAATAACTTAGATTCGATTTTCAGTTAGCGCATCTGGCAATGGCACAGTTTTCCCTTTCAAGTATAAGAAACCCATAACTCTCAAGGCAGGGAAGAATGAAATTTCTCTGCTGGGCATTACTGTTGGCTTGCCGGTAAGAGACTCTTGCAGTATTGGTTATTTTGTCAAACATTGTTGTTCTCTATTCAGCATTCCTATTTTCCTTCTGCTGTTAGACTGCTGGTCCTAGATACGAATGGATCCCAGCTGGACTTACCAGCGTTGTGATCAAGGGGCTTAACAATGGACCATTAGACTTGTCAAAGAACACTTGGACTTATAAGGTACATTTCCCCCCTCTCGAGGAAAGCTTCTGCTTTAAGTTAGATGGAGAAGGGTTATATTCTTCTACCTCTCATCTGGCAGATTGGTCTTGAAGGAGAAAAGCTTGCTATCTACACACAAGGTGGTATGAATCGCGTAAATTGGGTCGCAACAGCAAATGTGCCAAAAATGCAGCCTTTGACGTGGTACAAGGTAATAACCTAGTTGACTTGAATCCCTTTTTTTTTTCCAGGAAATGAACATAATACAGTATGTTGGTAAAGCCATTTTTTCACCTATGAAAAAACTTGAAATATTCGACAGACCTTCGTTGATCCACCAACTGGAGATGAGCCTGTAGGACTGGACATGCTGTACATGGGGAAAGGTCTTGCTTGGTTGAACGGAGAAGAAATAGGCAGATACTGGCCCAGGAAAAGCCCTAAAAATGGCAAATGTGTTGAACAATGTGATTACAGGGGCAAGTTCATGCCAGATAAGTGTCTCACCGGATGCGGGAAACCGACACAAAGATGGTAAAAGAACTAACCAAACAGTAATTTTCGCACCTGTTTCCTTGGAATGTACAAATCTTCAAGCTCTTGACCTGGTAAACCATGCTGTTTCTTGGGTGATAAGGTACCACGTCCCTCGCTCATGGTTCAAGCCGTCTGGCAACACTCTGGTGATCTTCGAAGAGCGAGGTGGAGACCCCACAAAGATCAAGTTCTCGAAACGAAGAACCTCGGGAGTATGTGCCTCCGCCAGCGAGGATTACCCCTCGGCCACGGTTCATCTCAAGTGCCCTGAAGATACCCACATCTCGAAGGTGAAATTTGCCAGCTTTGGAACTCCAAGGGGAGCCTGTGGATCGTACCAGATGGGAGATTGCCATGATCCCAACTCTGTTTCAGCAGTCGAAAAGGTGAGGAAGCAAGCAGAACATGACCATAATCTCGTTTGAAACGGTTGTCTGTAGTGTGATTTAAAGGAAGTCTTTTTTTTCTTCTTCCTTTTTCGCCTGTCTTCATTGCAGGAATGTGCAAAGAGAAACGAGTGCAAGATTCAAGTATCGGCACAAAAGTTCAGCAGCAAAGGGAATTGCGCGGCTGGGAAAAGGAAGCTTGCTGTGGAGGTAATCTGCAGCAGCTGATCATGAAGCTGAGAATTTCAACAGTTTAGTTTGGTGGCCATGATGAAGCAAGGAAGAATAGGAATGGAGATGAATGAAAGCCTATGTTTTATTTTCCACTTCTAGAAGCTGTAAGGCTACCCTGAGGTAAAGCCAGGAATTCACAAGTTTTGTTTGTTAGGAGAAAAAGAGCCGGAGAACAATGTAGGAGGAAGAAAGATAAATGTTGAAGTTGGCCATATCGTTAAATGAAATAAATTTTGACACTCAAAGAATGAATTGATAAGCTTTCCTAACTTAAGGTTCTTATATTGCGACTATCACTTTGAACAAATTATTTTTAGGAAAAATATTATTCAATTTTCAAATTTGTTGTGACTGAATAACCTTTTTGTATGTTAATAGATAAATCTAACTCTAGATCTAAATTTTATATTCATGCTTCTTTGTTATCATCGTTATTATGTTCATGATTCCAGTTTCTCGAGTATTCAATGGCTCAACCCAAATTACCAATCAAAATACTACTTAAACCTTTGCATAAATAATCTCTTATATATATATTTAGAGAAAGAGAAGTAGTCAATCTGATTGACCTTACGGTTGACCAGGATCGACAAAGCAGTCGACCTAACCAATTTTTTGGTCGACCTGATTTGTCAAAATGGTCGTCTTGGCCTTAAAGGGTTATTTGAGTAAAAAATTTGCTAGTATAGCTTTTGGCTACACCCTCTTTGTCATCATGAAATTGGCATAAATGACTAAAAGATGATGAAATATACAAAAATAAAATTATTTTTTACACAATAGCAGTAACATACTAATATCATTAAAAAAAATCTTGAATAATTTTGAACTTAATGAATTAATTGATGAACTTTCCTAACTTAAGATTCACAGATTTGGGCTACCATTTTTTCAACCATTTATTTTGGGCAAGATAATACCAAATTAAGAAATTACACACCACACCTTTGTCATCTTGGCTTATAAATAGAGGCAGAGCTTGAACATAAAAAAATCATCCAAGTACTCTTAACATAAAAAATAATTCTTTAGCTCATCATCAACGCATAAGTATTAGCGTACAGATATCGAGATGGAGAAATCATCCGTCAAACTCATTTCTATGTGGCTTGTTCTCTTCATCGTCGTCGCTCAATGTACGTATTCATCTTCTCGAATCTCTTCTCCTTTTCCTATATTCTTAACAAAAAGAAAATAATTGACCACATCCAAATACTTATGTTTCAAACTTTTGACTCAACATCAACCATATATTATGAATTTTTTATTTTTATTTTTTTTGACAGATGGAGAAGTGACAAGATTAGGAGTAGAGGCAGATCTTAGTTGCACAAAAGATAAAGAGTGCTTCAAGATTTGCAAAACTGGGTGCCATGACATCCCCGGATTTATTCATTGTCGGTGTGTCAGTAATATATGCATGTGTATGAAGCCTGACGCCGCCGGCGGGCCTGTTCCCGTCAACGTGACCGCCGGCGCTATATAATCTTTAATATTTAGTTAATAAAATCAATAAATTGAAGTTGGTGTCTCGCGATTTTAGTCTTTCTAATGTATTATTTTTTTGTCAAAAAATCGCTTACATTAACAAGAACTAACAAGTTACATAATGTTGGCCTTCACGGAGAGCCAAACATAAAAATCAAACCCACTACATCCCACACGATAAACAAAAAAGAGGGTCTTCTTGGCCAATAAATGAGTTACCTTATTTTTTGGTTTGTCAACAAGGCGAATTACCAACATGCGGATCTCCTCATAGATTGCATCACCACCACAATTCTAAGAGATACATGCCTTTATTTTATGAATAATGACCTTGACATCACCCTCTCTATCCTTGCATGGTGCACCCCTGAGTCCACACGCCACTGAATTGCCTATCGTAGCGCTAAAAATCTAGTTGGTGCCGGATCCTCCATCTCTGCAAATAGTACTCCCTTCGCCATCACCACCGCCTCTTCGGTATTCCAAATCACCAAATTTCTGGTATTCCAAATCCCTCACAATAGGCAAACCAAACGCACCACCCGAGGAGTGTAAGCATCCTTGGCAAGGAGTCGCCAGAGGAAAATCGCAAAGTTCTATTGAGGTAGCCCCCTCTACCGCATTTGTCAACCTCGCCTCTATCCAAAGGATTCTCGTGACCGGACAGTCCAGAAACAAATGTTTAAGTGTCTCCTCCTCCGTGCAACAGACCGTCTGCCTGCCGTTGGTAAGATTCTATTTTGAACCTGTCAAAAGAAGAATTCTAACTTCGGTTGCACTGGCATCTCCCAGTCCTGTCGCCAAAATGAATGATATACCAAGCACTGGTGACAGTCCGTACACCATCCACCTTTCCCATGATCCATTAGCATGAACGTCGTCTCCATACTATATTACATGACCGCGTCTTGGACTTCAGGCGCCTCTAGGTACAGGTAGAGTATCCATTGCTCAATGATGATCGGAATAAACTTCATGTGCCAACCTATCAACACAAGTCTCCCCTCGGGAGTGCAAAACCATGAATGATACTTTTGCCAACCCCACGATTGGTGATACCTTGATCCTGTTGTTAGCACACTACCATTAGGGCAATACTTTCCCTCGATATTTAATACCATATGGTAAGAAAGCGTACCATGATGGTATGAACATACTAATATGGTAAGAAGGTTGAATACATGATAGTAGGAGAATACTAACTGTCATTTTTTACTTTCATCCTTGTTTACCACAAGTTACCACCCACGTAGCATAGTGGTAAAGTATGGTAATTTTTGGTCCAGTATTTTTTTTCACCCAGAAATTTGTAGATCCAATAGATCATGATGAACTCGTTCCTTCTGAGCAAACGTTTTCAAAAATGACTTAAAAACGAAAAAATTACCATATGGTATGTAGTTGGTAAAAAAAAAAGTTTCTCGAAATATATTGAAAATTGAACTCATTTTGTAGAGCACAACCAACTCGTTCCGTGTGTGCAAAAAAAAAATCCGAGTTAGAACGAAGAAGATAAGAGCCGATTATGGAAACTAGGGAAAATAAAATGTCTTTAATTGACGACCCTTAGATCTGAGTTTTCTAGGCCCACTTAGATCTAAAGGTCCAGATTTAGTTACTCATAGGTCAGTAACCAATGGTTACTGACCCTATCCTAAACCATCAAACTATACAAACAATACAAACTAGGCAGGCCGACAAACATTACAAAGTCGTCTCTGCCGCAGAAAAATCTGCAGATATCGTCTCATCTCTCTCTCCTTCTCTACCGCCACCGACTCTCTCTCTCTCTCTCTCTGCACACAAAATGGAAAAACAATCTGGTTGATTTTGGAGGTTCCGTCCCTACATAGAGGAATTTCGTCCCAGAAACCTCCAGGTGTTTTTTAGTCATATATACATTACAAATAAAATCGACAAACATTACAAAGTATATAAACATTGCAAAAGAAACTTACAAACATTACAAATCATATAAACATTACAAATATTTCAAAACAAACCGACAAACATTACAAAGCCGTTGGGAGGGAGGAACGCTGGAAGGAGGAAAATTCCATTGGGACCCACTTTATTTTGTTATTGTTTTATTTAAGAAATAAAATAATCAGGCAATTATCTCCTTGCCCTTCATTAAATGAGACTAATTTGAGCCATTAGATTAAAATTTAAATGGAGGATTGAGATTTACTTAGCCAAGTGACTAATACCCTCCTCTTAGTCACCCAATCCTATCGCGTCAATGAAACGAAACTAGGATTGAAATAAAAACTAGGATTGAGTTTCCTAACTTAATATTTGTGCTATACCATATACAATCCTTCATTTTGGAAAAATAATTAATCACAGACATTAAGACTTATAGAAACACAACATTCACGCAAAAAAAACTAGGATTGAGTTTCCTAACTTAATATTTGTGCTATGCCATATCCAATCCTTTATTTTGGAAAATAACTAATCACAATATTAAAACTTAAAAAAAAAATTCACAAAACGGTTAAGAAACAAGGCACCTTAACATCCCCACTTAAGGATAAAGAACTTTGACATCAAATCATCCTCAACCATCATCACGTGCCCAACGAAAGAGTACTAGCTCTAGGTAGGACATCGAAATGAAGATGACATCCATCAAACTCATCTCTTTCTTCCTCGTGGCAGCAATACTCTTCCTCTTCGCTCATTGTACTTAATCTAACTAGTTCCTCTCATGTCCTGGGAACAAAAAACCAATAACTAGTTTAGTTAGAAAATGATAAGACAACAATTGGGTTTGCTGCTGACGATGAAGAAGTTGCTGCTGGATTTCATTCAGTTTTAGCGCTTGTTCACGATCGAGTTATCGTTCCAATAAAAAAAACTATCTTGATGCTCCTTTGCTATTGCTGGTTAGGTTAGCGTAAGTCAATTTATCAATCTTAGAGATTGAAAGTGTAATCATCTATGATAAAAAAAACTCACTCTATTACAAATCATTCAAACTGTCTCTCCGAACGAAATCATATATCCGGATAGTTTATCAATACATAACCATGTAACTCATCCAAATGCATGTACCCCTTGTACCATAAATCCACACTCAACAAAATATCACTATTCATAGCAATCATGAATCCACCGCCAATAGTACTAAAGCTCGAAAGAGAACGGACTCCGACCACTCTGTTCCCTCCGCCGCCGCCGCCACTACTGCCTCCTCCGATCACTCTGTTGTCGTTGCTTCTAGGTGATGGATTTCGCGGCGGTCCTGATGATCAAGAGAAATTGTTAAGACTTCTTAATGATTCAATATTCGTGTTTATAAAACTGAATTAATTTGGTAGACCCCTACACCCTACTTACTACTCAAAAGGTGTAACAAAATTGGCCATAATGGTTGGGTTTGAAAAGTACTGAATTTATTTGGGGCTTCATTAGGAACAATATGTTAGTTTGAATATCTTGGTAAGTTGAATGAGGTTAGGTGTCAAAACCTCCTTGTTTTGTAGATGTTGCAAAATCAATCTTAATCGTTAGATTTGAGAAGATGTGAACAATTTTTTATTATTATGAAAAGATCCAATGGCTGGTATGAGAAGACAACATTTTGGCATTACGCAAAGTATACATCTGATTATTAAAGACTAGTATAAAAAGATATGACGAGTAGTATGAGAATACGACGAAATATATTTAGAGCTTTATCATTTTTCATATGAAGAGTAATATAACTCACTTGATTCGATTGACCCGATTTTTAATGTGTGTTGATAGTATTACGTATATGTATAGTAATATCAATTATAGGAGTTCTGAATAAAACTCAAAGGAACGATCTAGACTAGCCAAATGATCTGAAACATGCTCATTAGATGATTTGTCTGTCTTTATAACTTATAGTAATCATTAGATAATTTCTAACGTTGTACCCTTACAAAAATCTTCTAATTGTCCTTAACAAGGGATTGGTGTAGTGTTGGTACATGGAGGTTACAAGTTCGAATCCTTTTAGTAGTATTTAATCACAAAAAGTAACATATACCACTCTTATCTAAAATACAAGTAAATTGCAAAGAATTATGATTATTCACAATTCTAGGATTTGGTTTCCTAACATAATGAAAACTAGGATTTGCTTTCCTAACTTAATATTTGTGATATACCATATCCCATCCTTTATTTTGGAAAAATAATTAATCACAACATTAAACAAAACAAAAAATTATATTCACACAACGGTTAAGAAACGCGCCACCTTATCCTCTCAACTTATAAATAGATAGAGAACTCTGACACCAAATCATTCCCATCACAGAACTCTGACACCTAGCGACTATCATCATTGACCTCACGCGATCCGTGAAAGAGTACAAGCTAACTAGGATACCAAAATGAAGACGACATCCATCAAACTCATCTCTTTCTTCTTTGCGGCAGCATTACTCTTCCTCGTCGCTCAGTGTACGCAATCTAATCAGTTCCTCGCTCGAATCTCTTTTTCTCTTTTCATCTCAACCCATCTCTAGCAAATTTATGAAATTGTTTTTTTTTACAGATGGAGCGGTGGAGGCTTATAAGACATGCCATGGAGATTATTATACCGGGTGCGACAAGTGCGATGAGTGCCCTGAGAATCCATGTTTCTGTATAGAGAAAATATGTAGATGCAGCATGCCTGTGCTATCTCATGTCCTGGGAATAAAAATAAAAAACTAGTTTAGTTAAAAAAAATGAAAAGACAACAGTTGGGTTTGCTGTTGATGAAGGAAGATGTTTTTGTATTTCATTCAGATTTAGCGGTTGTTCACTATTGAGTTATCGTTCCAATAAAAAAATAGAGTTGTTTTTTTCCACCTTCTCAATTATTATTTGCTGCTCATAATTACGCAAAAAAAGACCATTATATCCCTAATAAAATCCTAATCCTTCTAGACTCCTAACCCTCCTTCCAGCATTCCTCTTCAACTTCCTTCTCCAGCCGTCGTCCCCAACTATTTTGACAAAAAAAAAAACTAATTATAACCAACTGACGGATACAGACACGAAAATTATGAATAACCTAAAATTTGAAGGGCTGGAAATGTTGTTTTCAATCATACATTTGCTAATGTTGACTAACGTTTACACTCAATAAATTAGAAGAAAACTTCCCTAAGTTAGTGTTAAGTGTTGGGCAAAACCTAAAGAAAAATAACTTCGAGAAATAAGAAACGCATTCACATCTTCTCCTTTCTCGGCTTTATGAATATATTAGGAGTTTTACCATAAAACCATCTCATACCCTGACAAAGCAAAAACAAATTTACAGACAATTCTCAATATTCAAACTCGTCTAAGAAACTCGAAATATTTAAAAATGGAGAAGTCAACCTCCAAACTTGTCTCTTTCTTGCTCGTTCTCTTCATCGTTGCTCACTGTAATAACCTTCACTAACAATATCCTCTCATTTCTTTCTTTTGAACGATTTTTTCTTACAATACTTTGATTTCAATCATCTTCTTAACATCGAAAGTACGTTTTTTTTTCTTCTTCTTCCGCAGATGGAGAGGTATCGAGATTTGGAAGAGCAGAGGCAAGAGGTCTTCTAACAAGTCACCTTTTCGACCACTGCAAAACAGATGCGGATTGCCAGGATCTGTGTGGAAATAAGTGCATGATTCCTGAATATTCTATATGCGGATGTGCCAATAATCAATGTGGTTGTCAATCTTCACTATTCCCAGTTGACATTCCTGTGGCCATCCAAGGAAAAAACTGATAATTAGTTCATAAAAGCCTGCTAATCAACTCATTAAGGATAATAGGATGCCGTGTTCCAATTAGAATCAAATTAGAGCCACTTATAGGAGGTCTCCATTCCTTTTGAGACCTGCCAAAGAACCCAACTCGAGCATATTCATCCGCTAAATACCACCACTACATTTTGCGAATAACATGAGTCCAAGAACTATAAATTCCTCTCTCACCCTCTCAAATTCGCCAGTTGATGTTTTCGAAAAGGAAAAGAGAGCAAAAATCAAAGAAAAAACAAAAGTTGGTCAAATAAACCCTTATGAACGAAATAAAACTATGAGATACAAAGAAGGAACAATCACGTGAAACCAGTATAGAACCTGTGGATCAAGGTCTTCTTCGAATCCTCCTCCCTCTTCAAATAACTCCAGATACCTCCAGATCCACTCCAAGACCCTCAAATCCCTTTCTTGGTCGCTCTTACTATTCTCTCTAGGAAAGCTACGGCCGATTTTGGTTTCCTCTACGATCCCCGATGCTTGCGGGACAAATTCGAAAGTGAGAAGGGGAGAGGGAAACAAATTGATTGTAGTTTTTTTTTTTTGAGAAATCAGATTGAGATGGGAGCAAAAGAGGTACAGGAAAGAGAAAACAGAGAAGTGCTGGGTAGAAGAAATAGTGAGATTGAGGAGGTAGGTAGAGTATATGGTGGAGAAAAGGAGTTGTTTTTTCCCCCTTCATATCTCCAACTCAAATCGTCTTTCTCCTATCTCCGCTAAGAGAAGTCTCTGACCTGCCATCAAATCATCCAGAAAGCACTGGATGGAGAACAATAATTTATTTTCTCTCTCAGAATCCTCCAGCCAAATCAAGCAAACCCCCAAGACTGCTTCACGTTTTTTTCTCTCCCGGCGTCCTCCAATTAAATCAAGCAAACCCATCACTGCTTCCAACCCAGGACTGCTTCACGACTTAACCGGGGCTCATTCCGTTTCCCTGTGACCAACGCGCGTTTTCTCCCAGCGTCAAGCAGGCCACTCAGTGCAGTACTTCCTGTCACTTCCTCCCATCAACCCATCAGTCCTACCACGAATGACCTCCAACCCTCCAAGGGTCTCTACAGTATTTCGTCATATGAATAGTAAAATTAGGTCTAAATGAATAACAAATTGTGTCTAAGTGAACAGTAAAAACAGTCTAGATGTACAATGTTAGGTGTTTTGAGCCATTATACTTTTAATAATTAATTAATTGTGCTATAGAGTTTCCTACCAAACCCTAATAACCGCCCACAGGCCATAACCCTAGTTTGAACTCTATTGTACCATATGATCAAATCCTTGACCTCAAAGTTGAAGTACGTGGACATACTTTCTTTCTCATGCCTAACCAATGAGAAGTAGAGAAAATCCCGACGCGGGTTGGACTTACTTGTTGGGCCCTTTAAACTTAACGGGCTCTTTCTCCGTGGGCCTGGTTAATGCCGCATCAGTCATCCGACACGTCACAGATATATTCGTAGGTTAATCCAACGATGGTAAAGTCGGTGCCCCGTTTCACACCATCGGGTGTTCGGGTGCCCAATTCCTAAGTCGGCGGGTACAGTTCAAACCCGGGAAATAAAAACCTACGAAGCAGAACTTCTAAAAGCCTTTTAGTTGCTCCCTCCTTCGGCCTTTCTCCCTTTTCCCGCCGCCGCCACAACCTCCGGCGTCTCGCTCCCCCACGCCGCTTCCTTATTGATTTCCTCCGACGCCGATTCAAGCTTCGAGGTGCGTGAAATCTTGGTCTTTTTCGATTTATCTGATTCTGTTCCACGGATTCGGACTCGGTATGCTTTCATGTTCGATTTCCTTGTTTCCCCGTTATGGTATTTCAATTACTCTGCGGAACGATTGAAGTTTTTCTGAGTCTTGATGAAATCCCCTCGATTGGGTTTCATCGCTGATACGGTGGAGAGGGGTTTTGATTGAGGGAGGAGGCGATTTTTCATTTTCTGCAACTTACTGTGTTTTAGGGTTTAATCGAGCTTGGAGAACTAAGCGTTGTGGGTGTGTGCTTGTTTTCCGTTGTGTGTTTGAGCAGAGGATCGTCCGCGATGGATGAAGATAAAGGGATGTTCAATGTCCAGCAGACGATTGGTACGGTGCTCTGCTGCAGATGCGGCATCAGAATGCAGCCGAACGCGGCCAACATGTGCGTGAGGTGCCTTCGATCGGAGGTGGACATTACCGAGGGTTTACAGAAGCATGTGGTGATCTCCCACTGTCCGGAATGCGACTGCTACCTGCAGCCACCCAAGACCTGGCTCAAAGCGCAGTGGGAGTCGAAGGAGCTCCTCACATTCTGCGTCAAGCGGCTGAAGAATCTCAATAAGGTGAGATTGATCCACGCTGAGTTCGTCTGGACCGAGCCACACTCCAAACGGATCAAGGTCCGCGTGACGATCCAGAAGGAGGTCCTCAATGGCGCGGTCCTCGAGCAGGCTTATGTTGTTGAGTATGTTCAGCAGGACCACATGTGTGAGTCTTGCTCGAGAGTGGCGGCCAACCCGGACCAGTGGGTTGCGTCGGTGCAGCTCCGTCAGCATGTTTCTCATCGTCGGACGTTCTTCTACCTCGAGCAGCTGATATTGAAGCACGATGCTGCTGTGAAGGCTATAAAGATCAAGCAGATGGATCAAGGTATCGACTTTTTCTTTGGGAACCGTAGTCATGCTGTGAAATTCCTTGAATTTCTGGGGAGCGTTGTCCCGACCAAGAGCCGCGATGATAAGCAGCTGGTTTCTCACGATGTCAAGAGCAGTAATTACAACTACAAGTACACTTTCTCGGTCCAGATCAGCCCGGTTTGTCGCGAGGATTTGATTTGCTTGCCTCAGAGGCTTTCTTCCAGTTTGGGCAACATTGGGCCTCTTGTTGTCTGCACCAAGGTGACCAACAGCATTGCACTGCTCGATCCTTTCACATTGAGGCACTGCCATCTGGACTCTGATCAGTACTGGAGGCATGGTTTCAAGTCGTTGCTGACCAGTAGGCAGCTAGTGGAGTACATTGTGTTGGATATCGAAATCCCCTCGCCACCAATGGAGGCTAAAATCGGTGGGGTCAGGTACCTATTGGCCGATGCCCAGGTGGCTCGAGTGTCCGATTTCGGCCGCAACGACAACATCTTCTTCGTGAGGACTCACCTTGGACATCTTCTGAACCCAGGCGACCATGCCCTCGGCTACGACCTCTATGCTGCAAATAGCAACGATAGCGAGCTGGAGAAATACAAGAATCTCGTGTTGCCGGAGGTGGTCCTGATAAAGAAGAGCTACGAAGAGGCGCGGCTGAGGAAACGAGGGAAGCCTAGGAAGTACAAGCTCAAGCACCTGGAGATGGAAGTCGACGACAGAGCCAGGGTCGACGAAGAGAAGGAGAGGTCGGATTACGAGCAGTTCCAAAGGGATATCGAGGAGAACCCCGAGCTGCGGTTCAATCTGTCGCTGTACCGTAACAAGGAGTACCAGGAGGAGTCGGAGGCCGGCTCAATGGCTGATGATGCTGCAGCTCCGCTGGAGGAGCTGCTTGCTGATCTTGTGCTGCTTGATGAGAGTGATGAGGAGGAAGATGAGGGCATGAGAGAATGAGGACAGAGTGTGTTGGGTATTTCATTTTGTGTTATTCAGAGAAGTACTTTTGAGATGGTAAAGATTGAACTTTTGTTCTGTGACATTTGTAGCGGTTGCTAATTCTGTAAGCGTTGTATGGGTTTGTTGAACTGAGCTGTGCTGGTGTAAGCCTTATCTTATAAGGAATTTCCAATCACTACTACCTATTGTATTTGAAATTCACAATCTCAGTGTGATTATAATTTGCTTCACAAATATCAGCTCAATCAAATACACGCCACTGCTGACCGTCGCCAAATCCTAATCCGAACACAGAAACTCCTAATTATAATCCTATAAGAGAATATGCAGAGCTTACACAAAAAAACAGAAGCTGCGAGGCGATCGACAGAATGTTTAGAGAATCAAGAAGGAGACCATGGGCTGATCTTTGCCCGGAGCTATTGAACTTGATCTACGAGAAGCTGCCTCCGCAGCTATCGACAGAATGTTTAGAGAATCAAGAAGGAGACCATGGGCTGATCTTTGCCCGGAGCTATTGAACTTGATCTACGAGAAGCTGCCTCCTGTCGCCGCATTCCGAATCTCAGGATTCGGATCGGTGTGCAAACCCTGGCGCCAATTACACCGCTCCATTCCCCTGCCACCGCCGCCGCCGGACCATCATCCTTACCGCCCCGGCCATCTCCTAGTCTGCCCGACCATCGACGCGGCCACCCCGGACAAGATTCGCGACGAATTACACGCCGCGTCGATCGCCTACAGCTGGCCGAATAGCGGGTGGCTGCTTTTACGGCGTTCATGCAACGGTCAGATCTTCAGTTGCTTCAATCCCCTGCTTCCCTGGCCGCGGAACTACATAAAACTCCCCTCCCGTCCGGCCGCCATCCCCGGTCCTCCCGCCACGAATCACAATTGGCCGGCACCGCGGATTAACGCCGCTTTCTCAAGCGATCCCACGGGCCCTCGCGATTGGACCATCCTCGTCGTCGAAGAGAGGTTCCGCACGTACCGCCGCGGGAACTCTGCCTGGAAGAATCACCACCTCTGTAACTACACTCGGCTCGGGTACAGATGCGTGGCGATTGGGTTCAGGAAGGGCGAATTCCTCTGCCTGTTCGAAAGGGGAGACGTTCTGATTCTGGGCCTCCGCGGCCGCGAGTGGAGGATGCTGGCAGCGAATCATCCGCCTCCGGCTCCGGCTCCGGCGCCGCCGGGCCAGCAGTACAATGAACTCCGAATCGTGGAGAGAGGAGGGAAGGAGGGGGGAACGTGCGTGGTGGTGAACTGGGAGCTAGCTGCGGAGGGACACGGCGGCGGCGGAGGAGGAGGAGGGAGATGGCGGCTCGCCGGAGTGGAGAGGAGAAGGAAGGAAGAAGGTGACGGCGGCGTGGAACTGCCGGAGGAATCAATGGAGGAAGGGAGAAGGCTGAATTCAAGAGTGGTTTTCGTTACACAGAGTGCAAGCTGCACAAGCACAACGGGAGCTTGGGACAGATTGATGACCGTCGTTGTTCTTTCCCTTTTCTTTGCGGTAATGGGATTCATCACCCTCGGCATACCTATTTTAGGTGTTGAGGTTTTAGGTGTTGAGGATGAAGCTGGGTCAGACACGTACTGATTAGGGTTGATCTATAAAACTGACTCGTCCCGCCATGATTTCTTTCAAAGATGCTATGAAGGACGGTTTGATTTCTTGAGTTGTAAGGCAGGAATCCGTGTGTCACAAGGATTACGTGTTAAATTAGGTTTATTTTCAGTTGTGTTTACTTTGTTTAGAGTTCCAAAACTTGCCGAACCCTGCTTACCATTCGAGCAACCCCACTCGATTGCATAGAAAACTCTGTTGTAACAATTGTGCATTCTCCCATGTGTGAGTTTACCCTTTTGTTTCCATCAAATACAAGTTCAAACCAGTTCAATCGAGCTTGTTTTGAATTATGTTCGTTCTTGATCAATCACTTGGTTGATTGAGATTGGTTGCGCCATTCTGAACCAATTGAGACCTCCTCTAGTGCTCGTCAGTTACGGTGGATGTTGTCATCCTACAGTATCATCATCTTAACTCTATGGAGTTCGTGTTCATCTATAATAACTTAGGTTTCAGAGACTTGAACATATATAGAGAAGGGATTGCTTGATCTCTTAGGACAATATATGTATATGATAAAACGATGATTGAACCTAGTAATGACAACGGGGCGGGCGTGGAGACGGGTACCTCACTTCTCATTCTTGCCGTGCACTAAGCACATGTTAGGTCGGGTAACACCCGCACGGATAACAAAGTTTAGCTCAAACTTGACTCGATAATAAATGAATCGGATCCAATATGTTGAATCGGATCCCACATAAACAATCTCAGATAAAAACCAACTTCTACAAATCAAAAACACGTTTTAAGTCCTGAATTTCTCTATCTCTCTCCAATCCATCCCAATATGTTGATAATTGCTCGGAAACCTCGACTCGTCCTTTTCGCGACTGAAAACTCAACCGTCCCGCGCCGTTCTTCACAGGAATTCCTAATCCCATAGGAGTCTTCTCCTTGTAAAAAGAATATGAAAATGCAGAGCCCAAGTACAGAGGCACATTTAGGCTATATAGGTAAACTGAATTTTAATCCACGAGAAGCTGCGAGACGATCGGGAGAAGAGAATGGTTAGAGAATCGGGAAGGAGACCATGGGCCGATCTTGACCCGGAGCTACTGAACTTGATCTACGAGAAGCTGACTCCTCCCTCCGCCGCCGCCCGCAGCTCGGGATTCGGATCCGTGTGCAAGCCCTGGCGCCGATTCCACGCCGCCGTTCCCCTGCCACCGCCGGACCATCATCCTCACCTCCTAATTTCCCCGACCGTCGTCGACGCGGCGATCCCGGACGAGATTCGCCACGAATTGCAGGCCGCGGCCGTCGTCTACAGCTGGCCGAGCAGCGGGTGGTTGCTCTTACGGAACTCACGCAGCGGTCAGATCTTCAGTTGCTTCAATCCCCTGTTTCTCCCCTGGCCGCAGAATTACATAGAACTGCCCTCTTCCCGTTCCGCCAATCCCGTCAGGGATCCCCATTCTCCGCCGCCGCCGCGGATCATCGCCGCCTTCTCGAGCGATCCCGCGGGACCCGACGAGTGTACCCTCCTCGTCATCGGCGAGGAGGAGCGGCATTTCAGGACCTTCCGCCGCGGGGACTCCTCCTGGAAGAATTACTACATCTACTACGGCATGAGCGACAGTCGGGAGATAATTGATTGCGTGGCGATCGGGTTCAGTGACGGCAAATTCTTCTGCCTGTTCGAAAGGCGGTACCTTTTGATCTTCGGGGTCGGCGGCGGCGGCGAGCGGAGGGTTCTGGAGGCGGTTCCTCCGCCGCCGCCGGGAAATGATCTGCAAATGTTGGAGAGAGGGTGGAGAGGGGACGGCGATGGAGGGTCGTGTGTGGTAGTGAGTTGGGAGCGAATTGGGGATATACACGGCGGCGAAGGCGGAGGAGGACGGAGGTGGCGGCTGGCGAGGGTAGAAGAAGAAGTGGCGGAGGGAACGGCGGCGGAACTGATGATGGAGGAAGGAAGGAGGCGGGATTCGAGAGTGGTTGTGTTCAGGGAGAATCCCCAATGCAAGATCTGGCGGATTTGGAAACACCAACTGTTGACGATTTGTATTTGGCTTTGCCTTTACGGAGTTGGATTAATCTTCGTGCTCTTCGTTTCTGTAATCCCGGCGGTTTCGGGTGCTCGGAATGCTCCACCGTAGGGTCATCAACTCCTGTGGTTTCTCTAATTTTGTTGATTTCTTTGGATGTTTTTCTTTTCTTTTTAATGGATGATCAACATGCTACAACAAAAATGTCATAGTGAATGTAAGTTACAATTTCGTTTTGATTTTTTTATGTCACCTACAGTGCTTTTCAAATTAACTGAAAAGATGGAGAAGTTTGTGATAATGTCGGTTAGTGGGTTAGCTTATCGGTTAACTGCTAACTAATAAGTTGGTTAGTGGCTAACCGATAAACCAAATATTCCTAACAAAAACCAAACTATTAATGAATTATCGGTCATCGATTAAACCAATAACCAATTTTATCAGTTAGTTTATCGGTTAAAACCACTAACCATTAGTTATTAGCCACTGCTATCTAATCTTTCGAAATGGCACATAGTTTCTCCTTTTTCCACCCTGTCAAAAATTGCTCAAAAAGCTCAATTCATCCTCTCGTGACTGGAAACCCACCCTTTTGGTACATTATGCATTGCAATCACCTTCTCGTATTGTTGATTGCTATCACTAATTGATAGACATATTTCCTATTAACTAGCACAAACAAATTGAAATATGAAATCTTAGCTACATCGATGTAGTAGCAATGATGGTTCCACTGGTCACGTAGACGGAATATGAAGATCTTCTCTAATTAGATCAAATTACTACAATAAATACATAGAACATAAAAATTCATCCAATCTAATTTTTTGCAATCCACTGATATCATTGTGTTTAAGGATTTCAATCAAAACAAAAACATATTGAAGTGTATCAACTCAATCAATGAAACACCGTGAAGTCCCTAATTTCTCCTTTCTCCACCCTGTCGAAAACCGCTCCAAAACCTCGATTCATCCTCTCATGACAGAAAACCCACCCTTCCAGCACAATATGTAGTTACCTTCTCGTGTCGTTGATAGACCTATCTTCTTTGAACTTGTCACAAACAAATTGTTAAATGAAATCTTAGTTGTCTCAAAGTAGCAGCAGCGATGATGGTTCCACTTCCGCGGGTGACATAGCTGAAATACGAAGATCTGCTCTAATTAGAACAAGTCGGAATAAATAAATATCAACATCAAATTCACCCAAAGAAGAAGAAAAAAATTCAATCTCCTTTTATTATTGTGTTTAAGGATTTCTATAATTTTCCAAAAAAAATAGGATTTCAATACAATCAAACAAAAAATTTATAAAACGTTGTTGTCTCCATCCAATCTGGAAATGATCTCACACTTAATTTAAGTCAAAGAGAGAGCAAGAACATGGTCAAACCACGTTGACCACCAGTCGTCCACCACCAATCCGAATCCGAAAAACGAAAGGACTCCTCATCGGAAGAGTCTCCTTAAATACAAACACAAAAGCAGAGGCTTTTACCGTTGTTAACTTTGATCAACAAAGGGATGGTTAGAGAAATCGAAAGGCCATGGGCCGATCTTCAGCCAGAGCTACTGAACTTGATCTACGAGAAGCTGCCTCCTGTCGCCGCCTTCCGGAGCTCGGGATTCGGATCGGTGTGCAAGCCCTGGCGCCAATTCCACGCCGCCGTTCCCCTGCCACCGCCGGACCATCATCCTCACCTCCTAATTTCCCCGACCGTCGTCGACGCGGCAATCCCAGACGAGATTCGCAACGAATTGCAGACCGCGGCGGTCGTCTACAGCTGGCCGAGCAGCGGGTGGTTGCTCTTACGGCATTCACGCAGCGGTCAGATCTTCAGTTGCTTCAATCCCCTGTTCTCCTGGCCGCAGAATTACATGAAACTCCCCACCGGCCTTTTCGCCATCACCCCTCGTCCCGCCGCCACGGATCACAATTCGCCGCCGCCGCCGCAGCGGATCAGTGCCGCTTTCTCCAGCGATCCGACGTCGGGCTCCTCCGAGGACTGCACCATCCTCGTCATCGGCGCGCAGGATCGGACCTTCAGTACCTTCCGCCGCGGGGACTCGGCATGGAAGAATTACTACCACTACCACGCCTGGCATGACAGTCGGGAGATAATTGATTGCGTGGGGATTGGGTTCAGGGAGGGCAAATTCTTCTGCCTGTTCGAAACCCGGTACCTTAAAATTTCGGAATCGACGGCGGCGCCGCCGAGCGGAGGATGCTGGAGGCGGTTTCCTCTCCGACGCCGGCGGGCCAAGTGTACAATAATCTGCAAATTGTGGAGAGGGGACGGAGAGGGGACGACGACGATGGGTCGTGTGTGGTGGTGAATTGGGAGCGAGTTGCGGATGGAGGAAGACAGAGGTGGCGGCTGGCGAGGGTAGAGAGGAGAAGAAAAGAAGAAGAAGAAGAAGCAGCAGCAGCAGCAGCGGAGGGAATGGTGGCGGAAGTGATGGAGGAAGGAAGAAGGCGGGATTTGAGGGTAGTTGTGTTTAGAGAGAATCGCCAATACAAGATCTGGCCGATTTGGAAAGACAGATTGGTGGGGATTTGTACTTTGCTTAGCGTTGTAGGATTTGCACTACCCTACACATGGTTTTGGTTTACGTACGGTGGCCCATCCAGAACACAGTAGTGCACTACGGCCGCATTTCATTAGAAAATTAGATATCGTAAAAAAAAGATATAATAATAATTTATTTTTTACGATGTTAATGATACACGACACGACGGTCTTTTAATTTAGCGAATGCATCAATAATTGAGTCTGCATTCATACTAACTCTGTTTCAAATAAAATAGTTGAACAATCGGCGAGAAAAATAACAATCATTATTATAAATAAAAAATCACTGGGCTAAATGGCTAAAATCGATAAATTCGTAAGAACTATTCTAACTTCGGATCCAGAGGAGGGCTGGGCTGGGCCGGGGCCCGGGTGGGCACCCAGTGTATCCGCCACTGTTTACGTAATGTCGGCGGTTGCGGTTGCGACTGATCGGAATGCAGCATTCAGTTGGGAAGGGAAGCAAGAGCTTGACTGGAAGTTGACATTAGGGTACACAAAGTGTCAAGAACCAGTTGCTCCCAATAACTCGAGTTGTTGGGAGAAGGTTCTGCTGGATCTCATACAACTCTCTAACACGAGCCCTCAAATGAAAGCCAACCCATGGGCTTGAAGTTTGTATAGGCGCACCATACCTTGTGTTTTAATCAACTGTTAATATTGGGGGTCGTGGAGATTCGAACACACGGCCACTTGGGCAAACTAGCTCTGATACCATGTCAAGAACCAGTTGCTCCCAATAACTCGAGTTGTTGAGAGAAGGTTCTGCTGGATCTCATACAACTCTCTAACACAAAGGACCAACATTCTAACGTGAGAGAACAAGAATTCAGAGTAGAATCGATAATTTCCCCGTGCGGACGAAGAAGATGTAATCTCAAATGCGTAGTACATGGTCGTCCATCGATTTATCATCAGATTTTGATGGAACTATAATAACTTATCGATTTCCAACAATGCGTCTAAACCAAGTACAATTTTATCACAATTCTTGTTACAATTTCATTAAGATTGTCATTTTATTTTACGACTTCACAAACATTACCGTAGCTGCGTGATCTCTCTCCTCTCTCTCCTCTCACTTCTCAGTGTCTCTGAGAAAATCCCCTCCAGTTCCTCTCTCTCTCTTCAATCACTCTGTTTTCCTTTCCTCCCCTGTTTCCTCTCGGCTCTCCCACAGCTCAAAGTTACCAAAACTCGCCCAAAATTCAAAAACCTTCCTCCAAAATAGAGAACAAAAGCTTTCAATTTAAAAATGCACACCAAGACGGATTCGGGAGGGACGAGCGTGGACGCGACGTGGCCGCCGCCGGCGCCGCGCTCCCCGCCCCGCCGGCCGGTGTACTACGTCCAGAGCCCGTCCAACCACGACGTCGAGAAGATGTCCTACGACGGCGGATCCAGCCCCGCCGGGTCCCCGCCCCACCATTTCTACCACTGCTCCCCAATCCACCACTCCCGCGAGTCCTCCACTTCCCGATTCTCCGCCTCCTTGAAAAATCCCCGCAGCCTCTCCGCCTTGAAGCACGTCCAGCTCAACAACCACCGCCGCACCGGCCTCGACGACGACGATTTCGACAACGAAAACGACGAGTTCGCCGCCGTAGGCGATCGTGGGTTCGACTCGAGCCGGCACAATTCCGTCCGGGTCTACATCCTCTGGCTCTGTTTCTTCTTCCTGCTCTTCACTCTGTTTTGCCTAATCCTCTGGGGCGCCAGCAACTCGTACGCTCCCAAAATTTCCGTCAAGGTAAACCGTCCCTCCTTTTTTCCCCCTTCAAAGTTCGAAGCTTTTCAGTTAACTGAGTCAACTGGGCGAGTTACTCGTTTCTTCATTGGGGAACGGAAATGCTCTGTTTTGGTAACCGGGTTAATGCTGTTTAATCAATGCCTGCAACTTTGGAAACGAAAGGGGGTTGAAGAAGAAAGTTGGTCTCTTTTCGCTTTCTTAGCAATCTTGGTAACGTAATCTCGTGGATTAAGGCCCTAATTAACAACCAATAAACAGCGATTATCTTAAAGGTCGTGATTATGGAGTAATTAAAAATTAGGGTTCTTTCTTGTTCTTTATTCTGTGTGTGTGTGAAATGCAGAGCATGGTGTTCGAGAATTTTAATGTACAGGCAGGGTATGACGGAACAGGAGTGCCAACAGACATGCTCTCGTTGAACTCAACGGTCAGGATCCATTACAGGAACCCGGGCACCTTCTTCGCCGTACACGTCACCTCCAGCCCGCTCGAGCTCCATTACTTCCAGCTCAAGCTCGCCTCTGGCCAGGTAAAGTGCAAGAAAAGATGGAATCTTTCTGCTAATCGCGACTGTTTATTTGACTAATCAGTAATCAGTAATTACTAATTACCCAAAAGAACAAGCTGCGATGGGCAAGGGTAGGTTGGTCCAAAGCCTTGGGTTCAGAGGGTCAAAGGGAACTTCTTTGGGTCTAGACACAGAGAGTGATGGGCATATGGAAGTGGGGCAATGGGGTGATTGCTACTTGCTAGTAATGGGGCGGAACGGCGACATTATGATAAGTCAAAATAAGAGAAATTAATACGTAGAGACAAATCATGGTAGAATCCGTCAAGAAAGAGAGGAGACAGGTTAGGGTGGTAGTAATACTCATGTCCCGCCCCATGCTATTGTGGTCGGGTATTACCCGCCTCAGTATGAGTTAGTAAGGTAATACCTGATGGAAAGAGTTCAAATTGTCATCACGGGGCAGGTTAAGACGGTAATAATACACATGCATCGTTCCATGCTATTGAGCTCGGGTACTACTCGTCTCGGTGTGCGTTAAGTAAGGTAATATCCTACGGAACGGGTTCAAATTGTCTATGGCTAGTGATGGCATAAGATATTTGAATGGATAGATAAGAGACGCTGTAACATTAATAATAAGAAAGCCTGCAAAAGTGAAAAAGACTCTGCAAATGGGGGTGGAAGAAACGGTCTAGGTTTGGGTTCCTTTCCTTGCTGGGAAATTTTATGATCGTTTCTTTAAACGAAACTAGATCTTGTGGTTGTTAAACCCCTATCGAACTCTCGGTCCGATCCGGTCCGATCCGAGTCGGGCTTTAAAATGGTTTTCAGGAAGCTTTTCGGTCTGACCCTTAAAGAGGGAGAAGAAGAGAGGGGGAAGAGAGATGGTGGGTGGATCATGGAGGTAAGATAGATTTATTTTGTGAAACATAAGTTTTTAATAGTTATACGTAAGATAAATTTTATTTCAGTCATTAAATCTTTAATTACTATCTTATTTGTATATATATTTAGAAAATGTCTAAAATGGCTCAAACTGACCGAACCCTAATCAGACCATTAAACTTCAAATCTCTTGATTGACCGGCTCAATGGCTTAAACCGGTTTGACAACCTTGATGAGAGGGAGGGCTACTTGACCTTTGGAGGGGCAGCCTGTTTGGTGGGGTGGTGGGTGCCCATTTTATTAATGTATGTAGGGTTCAATTCATGCATATATGATCCATAAAGATAGAAGCTTTTGGTCGCCTGTGGAGCTTGCTTCTGGTCATTGGCATTTGCCAATTCTGGTTTTGTTGATTGATTCTGTTGAAGCCATAAGTTTTGGGAAGGTAGATGAAAATGGTGGGTGAGTAGGTAGTTTGCTTTTGTTGGGACACCCTAATGTGTAATTGAGCTTCATGCCATCCACAATAATGCAACCACAGAATTATTCCATCCAATCTTGGGAAAATTCCACAATGGTTGTTCAAGTTATAATTGCCAATCCGGGGGTCGTCGGATCAGCCATTGAACGCTCATGATCGTTGGGTGGACAGAATGATATTTTATGTATAAAATTGTCACCACCTCCATTCAACGACCAAAGGACGTCCAGTGCTTGATCTGACGACTCACAAATCGTGTTGCAAACACAATTGCATGTGATTGAAAATGTTAATGGTAGAGTTGTCTAGTATTAGCTAGAGTGTTACGAATCCTACATTCGTAATTACTCGAAAATTCATTGTGCAATGACCATATGCCTTTTCTAGTTTGATTTGAGCTTCATGTCATCCACAATAATGCAACCACATAATAATTTACCACGAAAAAATTTGAAATTGACAGTTTTGAGGCAATTATAGTTGTTTGGAGTGGGGAATGCAATTTGAATTTACTCGTTATAATGAATGTTTTATAAAACAAGACAGTTTTGCCAAAAAAAAAATCGTTCTACTTCATCCAACGACCCCCAAGTCACGATTGCATAAAATTGAAATTTTCAACCAGTAAAAGTATCTCGTATTAGATACTAGATAGAGTGTAATGAATGCCTACATTCGTATTAATGATTGTGTCTGTACTTATTAGACATGATTGATTGTTCACATATGTGTCCATATCAAACACAATATGAACATTCTAACCTTCTTAGTAACATTTTCCTTATCGTCCACATCAAATGTACCTCATAAATCCTCCCTTGCTAATGACAATTTTGCTCTCCGTGACTGGGGGGAAATTTTCCAATAGATGAAGAAGTTTTCTCAGCCGAGGAAGAGCGGCCGCACGGTGGTCACCGTCGTCAACGCGCGCCAAGTCCCGATGTACGGCGGTGTGCCGGTGCTGTCGAATGCCTTCACCGACATGGGCAGAGTCGCCGTCCCTCTCAACCTGACCTTCACCGTCCGGTCCAGAGCCTATATTTTGGGGAGGCTGGTGACGTCCAAGTTCTACACCAAGATCCGGTGCCGGCTCACCCTCCATGGGAATAATCTCGGGAAATCCCATAATTTGACCGACGCTTGCTTCTATGGTTGATGAACATGTGCATATGATGTGTCTTGCTTCTATGTTGTTGGTTGGTGTAAATTGCAATTTGGTTTTGGGGTTTTAGAGAAATGGATGGTTGAAATTATTCTCCTTATAGTGATGAGTGCGAGGATGTTGTTACATGTTCTTGGTTGTTCGATCGAGAATTGGATGTTTGTGGTTCCTGTTTCCGACATGAGCTCATGATGGTATCTTGTGTTTAGGTGAAATCAATAGTCATTCGATTCTTGATGGAAGAACTCAGAGCTAGTAAGGATGGTCCTTGTGCTTGCTATATATTAAAAGTGCGGCATGGGTGACGTTAATTCCTATTGATCCACGCGACATTGACAAGGAGGATAAACTTATGAAGCAAGGTGTGCAGGATGTTGACTGACAGTAGCTCACCCTACTGCTAATTCGTCTGCACGTCCCTCCATTGGAACAATATTACACTATAGTATTTGACTAAACAACCCTAAACTTCAATCCAACTACGGCCAGCAGGCTTACTGGCGCCAATCTCGACCAACTTTTGCTTCACGGTGGCAACATCTTGCCATCTACCATCCGTTGCATAGACATGAGCCAACAGCAAGAGATAGCCAGCAGCTCGATTCGGATCAAGTTCGCCAACCAGCTTTCGAGCCACATCGGAAGCCAGTTCGGCTTTCCTGTGTATTCTGCAGCCACCAAGAACAGCACCCCATATGGCCTCATTTGGCTTCATTGGCATGGTCTTGATCAGCTCGGTTGCTTCATCCAGGAGTCCAGCACGGCTGCACAGATCAACCACGCATCCATAATGTTCAACCCTAGGGCTAACACCATAGACAGAGCTCATTTCCTTGAAGAATCGGCGACCTTCGTCGACGAATCCACCACGGCTGCAAGCACAGAGGACTCCCAGGAACGTTATTCCATCAGGCTTTGCTTCTCTGGCTCCCAGATTTTGCATATGATGGAACACGGCTAGTGCCTGTTCTGCGTAGCCGGATTTGGCAAATGCAACGATCAGGCTGGTCCAAGACACGATCGTCCTCTCCGGCATCCATCGAAACACCTCATAAGCTTGCTCAATCATACCGCAGCTAGCATACATATGGATGAGAGAGTTGTTCAGAGACACGAGTACCGGCTTGTTTCGAGCAGTGAACGACGCTGTAACGTAGGAGTGAATCCACTTCCCCTGCTCCAAATCCCGGAGTTCAGCACAAGCTGACAATGCCGCCACCAGAGCCACCTGGTCTGGTTCGACCCCGGCGATCCTCATCTCATTGAACAGACACAATGCTTTCTTGCACTTGCCACTTCGTGCGTGGGCGGCAATCATAGCGGTCCAGGCGACAACGTTTCTCTCGGGCATTTCATCGAACACCTTGCTCGCAGAATCAAAATCCCCGCCCCGCAGGTACCCAGCTATCAGGGTGGTCCAAGTGGTGACATTTCTTTCACCCATTTCGTCGAACACCTGACGGGCGCAGTCCATTCGGGATCCACCACTCGCCGTGGCGTACATGTTAACCAAGCTGGTATTCACAAACACGTTGTTCGAGCAATGCCCAGTCGACAGAGCCCTCCCGTGAAGCTGCTCGCCTTCTGTCAAGGACCCAGACTTGGCGCAGGCGCTGAAGACCAAGGAGTACGTGAACCCATCTGGTTCGGCTCCCCTGGCGACCATTTGATCGAAGAGTCGGACAGAGTTGTACGGCGTTTCGCTCCGAGCATGACCCCTGATGACCTGATTCCATACGGTGGTACTCGGGGCTTCCAAGTCTCCGAAAACACGGACGGCGGAGAGGAGGCGGCCGGAATCTAAGTAGGAGGAAAGAAGCTTGGCGAGAATGAAGCTTTTCTGGGCGTAGGCGTTGATTACGATCTGGGTGTGGAGCTGAGTAAGACACTGGAGATGCTTGCAGCGGCTGAGCAGGGAGAAGAGGTGCTGTTGGAGGGCTCTTGAACTGGAGGTGGTTTTGGGGTTAGCGCCGGCGGGAAGGTCAGAAATCTTCGCCGTCATTGCTCGTCCACGGCCCTGACTAGCAATCACACTCCCACCGTCTACTGGAACTGGAGGAGATGAATATGGGCTCCGGTCAACAGAATTATTAAAAATGGGCTGTGGGCTTTTGTTTTCTCATGGATCTATCTTTGGGCCCTGTTGAGTACAACAAGCCCACATCATAGAATTGAATTACATTTGACAAGAAAACATGAGGATTTAGAGAGAAAATTATTCATGATTGCTTGGTATGTTTAGTATTTCTAAATACTGCTTGTTAAAAATAAATTTAATGAGGATCATATGAAGAATTTATGAGTAGAAATGGATAGAATAGTCTAAATTTGATACAATATTGTAATGTATATATTTTTTATAATGGCAAAAGACAATGGGGAAAAAATGCACAGAAAATGTATGAGTCGTTGAGACCAATAAATTAATATTATATCATAATTCGATACTGCATCATGATATTAATCAATTACCGACCATTAAAATTCAAAATTTGACGATTTATAGTCTAATTTTGAAGTTTGACCCACACTATACTACCAAAAACATGAGGGATGTACACTAAACTCGTCCCTCTTTCTATTTGCATATGAATTACCATTTAGCAAGAAAAAAACCCTAAATGGAGTGGTTAGTTTTCCATTTCCTCCAAAAGGCTAATTGACCTACCTATCACTACTAAGTTGCATTATTGATATTTCTACTCTACAAATTATAGTCTCATTCTGGTTTGAAAAAATTGGCATGGAGGCCATTGTTAGCTAAGCTCCAAACAGCTGCAACCACCAAAAGAACGCACAAAGCCATCCCCAAACTACCCAGCAACAAATTCAAACTCCAAACGGCACCGCTTTCACAATCCGTGTTGGGTGCGGATTCAGCGGCGGATCCAGAATGTAAAAGAGCACTGGGCCGCGTTTGAATAAAAAAATAGATATCTTAAAGAAAAGTATATAATAAATATATTTTTCAGTACAATGTCAATTGTACACGACGTTCTTTTAATTTAACAAACTCATCATAATTGAGTATTCGTCCATGCCAATAACATACTATATCTCAAAGAAAATAATTAAGCAATTAGGAAGAAATTCATGCCGCGCCACATTCTATTATTCTATTTACCTATATATGTTTGTGTCTCATGCCAGGATTGCAACGAATTTCAACGGGGTTGGATTTTTTTTTTATTCACAATTCTCTCAATTGATGATTTCAGAACCTATATACCAGTTTGATGGATACGAATGGCCAAAGAGTTGAAATGCTTGAGCATAGGCCAAGCTATGGTATTCTGACCGTGCAAAAAATACATCTACATAAACATATATGAAATTGAACTCCAAATATCTTAGTTTACAGAAAAATCATTTACCAATACGCTACAACTTATGTAAAGTCGTTCGTACTTCCTATTTATTTGGAAAGCTAAACACTGACAGTGGTGCATGCATGCATTGAGAAAAAAAATCCAACCATAGGGTGGATTCAAATATTTAAAAGATAATAACTGTACCACACTTATTATCTTTTTGTCGGGTTTGGATGGAGAAACCCATACAAAGTCTCTGCTAAATTGGGCTTGGTACCCAGCACAAGAAAGAAAAGAAAATGTAAATTGGCCCATACGAAATGAGTAGCTCATATTGCTTCTTCCAGGGAGAGGGCTGGGCCCGGGCCCAGTGTGGCCCTCCCCTGGATCCGCCGCTGTGCGGATTCCTTGTTCTGCTTCTTCTTCATTGAAATCCACATCAGGCAAGGATAAGCCAGGGTGACAGGCAGCGCGACGGCTCCAATGACTAGAGCCAGGCTAGGCAAGAACGGGAAAGCCACTGCGATGAAGAACGTCAGCCCTCCGAAGAACAGCCTCAGACAGACTCGAACGAGCCTCGAGCATGGCTTGTTCTTCAGGGAGACGAACCTGAGCTCCAGGTTGTCGAAAACCGGCATAGCGTAGATCGGGTATGAGGTCAGGCAGTTGATTAGAAGTAGCAGGTAGACGAGGCCTTTCAGTGGCTCTGAAGTTCTCGAGCCGTGGAACAGTAAGAATGCCTTCAGCATTCCTCCACTGGAAGGCACCTGGTAAGAAATTTTCCAGGTTAGATGATGGCTAAAATTGGTGACTGACTGAATCATGAGGTTTGATGGTTCTTTATAGTCACTTCACCATGAAACTTACCTTGTTTCCATAAGCCCAGAACCCTGCAATTGCTAGAGGGAACAAGATGACCATCACAATTGCATATGAAATCATCACAGCTCTCCACATTGTCTTCCTAGACTGGATCATCTGTCTTGAAGGCAATGTCCCCTGCCATAAAAAAACCACAAAAACCTTGGTTTCAGTTTCATAATCTTAATAGTTTGTTGAAATCAGCCAGAGAAGTTCTGTAAACTGAAAAAGGATTGACCTTTCTTACCTGTATTTCAAGAACAAGATTGTGACCCTCTGAATGAGAGCCTGATGATCCCTATTCCATTCAACACATCACTCATTCTCCCCATGCCAGATCCATTTGATGATGATGAGGATCCATAATCAGCATCAGGAAGCCTGCCTGTTGCGACGGGGAGTGCTGTCACAACCTTACTCTTGATCGTGCTGCCCTAGCTCTCAATTCCGTTAGAGCGCTAGGCAGCCTTCTCTCAAACTCACAAACAAGAAAAGAAGCAAGAACAAGACAAAGAAGATGGGAGAACTCTATAGTGTGTATTACTCTAAAAAAAAGATGTAATGAGTACAAATGAGGGAGATGGCTCCTTATATAGGCCTCTCCACATACAAGGCATCAATGCCCCTCATCACTACCCCACATCAATACACCCATAAAGTCCCCCCATAATGCACTCTATAAATGTCACCCATTATGTGACTCATAAGTGCTCATATCAATGCAAGAAGTCTTTGGGCCCCTTATTGGATCACTTTCAGTTAGCCCACATAAGCAAATAGCTCATATAATTGTCAAAATATGTGGCTCATATCATTATAGGAAATAGAATTTCCTGCCACTTGGGCTGCATATTTCTCTTGAAACAATTATATCATATAATTCTTTAGGCGCGCAACCGTATGCTATTTGTGCTTAGACATCTCCTAAAACAATCCGGTCCACCTCATGTACTAATTATGGAACCAATGCGGCCTTAATCACGATATAATATGACTAAACCACCATGATCACCACACCAATACACTCAATGACATAGATCAAATATGGATGAGTGGCATGAAAATTACATGCAATGTGATCTTAAACATGCCTATTTTAAACTGGCCCAACTTTAGTCCTTAGTGAGATCAGTCGAAATTCCTTCATACAATGTGACCATTGCATAATTGAAGGTACTTTATATTCCAAAATAGACTCTACAAAACCATCACTTTATTCTGGAGAAATTGATTTAGACATAATCTATTGAGCATTCATAAATGACTCCCACTAAACCAAGGTACCATCCGGAATAACACTCCTGCGAGCAAATGTGCTCATGGGAAACTTTAGGTGTCAAACCTTTGGCTAATGGGTAAGCTAGCATTAGTCATGTCCTTAAAGTTCAATAGAAACTTGTCTATTTTGAACTGTATCTTTTACCATTAGGAACTTTATGCCAATAACCTTTGACTTTTGAACTCCTATTGTAATGACAGTGTATCACTATCTAACCATTGTCACTATTAACCTTCAATGATTTACCAAAGTCATTATAGGGACAAAACTTTGCAACCATAATTGGAAGTGCAAGATGTGATTTGAACTCTACCAAACACTTAAGGGTAACCTGATATAGAGTTCATGCTATCTTGACATCCTAGAACATCAGGGTCAGAGTACCTGATGGTCTCTAAATTATCTGATCTCTGATAGGTATGCATGCATTCTTTTACCATCTTTAGTAAACGCGTTACTCGTTTAATTCTTTTTAGTATTTCATGTATAGATTATTCAAATATCTGTCAAATACTATTAACCATAAATGCTATATTGGAATGATAATTAACTAAACTGATTGAGATTGAACTGTCTTCTTTAGCTACAACACATCTCTTAATTTTCAGACTTATCTACTTAAACCTTATCAATATAGCTCTTTTGAAATTGAGAATAATATCTTTATATCTCAAAACCCGATACAAAAGAGATGACACATTTAATTTCTTTGTCAGAAATTTTTTAGTTTGTTGTAGTATACTATATCGCTTTAAGTAAGTAGAATGTCATTGCCATGTAAAACCAAGAATACTAAATTTACTCCCACTGAACATAAGATATACAAAATCATCTCCAACATTAGTCTCTAAATCTGAATGAGCTAATTTCGAGATGAAATTTGTGATATCAATAATGAGAAGTCATAATGATTCATCATTGTCATTAGATTCCTAAAAGAGTCTTTCAAATATACTGGCCAGAAAGTCTCTTTGTATTCAATGCCTTCCGTATGAGTAAAGTCTTTACTGACCAATGTGCCTTATATCTCTCAATGTTGCCATTCGAACCCTTCTTGGTTTTAAATATCAATTTGCAACCAATAGGTTTCGAGCTTTTAGGCAATTTTGCGAGATCCAAAACATTGTCTTTTATTGACTTCATCAAATTGCATTAATCCACTTTTTAGAATTCATGACTTGACTAATATAAACCAGATCATTAGTAAACCTGATGTCATGCTTATGTTCATTGAAGAAAATGACGATATTGTTACCTAAAAGCGCTCATCTTCTCATTTGTGGATATACTTAATGGCACTTCTTGAGTGCATTGAGTTTGTGTAGTAATTACATTCCTTAAGTTTCCTCCCCCCCCCCCCCCCAAACTCAATATACTCGAGAAATCTCGCATTTCTCATTAAAAAGACATTTCTTGATGTGGGATTATAAAATTTGTAACTTTGAGAGTACTTTCGAGTAACCAACAAAATACAAGGTACTTGTACCCTTGTGTCCACTATACCTTCTTGTACCTTACAAGGTATTTCCTAAGTTGGACAACCCTAAATGTGCAAGTGCCTTATTGCACATATGGGTTACATTAAATACTTTTCTGGATACTCTATCTAAGGATGTACGTTGTAATCTTGATGACTTTTATCCAAATGGAGTCCAGTAAGTATAAATACTCCTCACCATATCCTTAAGATTACAATGAAATCATAACATCCTTAGCTCACTCATTGTTCCTTTACTGAAAATTTGAGGCAAAGTGAATGAACACAATCTTATCTCGTATCTTCCCTCCTCTTCTTTTGTGAGTATTAGTACTCACTCGAAATTTCATGGAGGAAGATAAATTAAACCGAGTGCATGAGCATGTCTTTGGACAACTCAAACTTTAATCACTTGAGTTTTAATGCGAAATCATACACCTCAAAATATAATACGCTTTTTCCCTCTACCATTACACTGAATGTAATTACCGAATAGGTAACTTGCCCTGAATTTTCTTTTTGTTTGGCAAAATATTGCACGATTACTGCAGGGAACCCCATAATTGTCTCAGTGAAAGAGCTCATAAATTATTCACCAAATAGAGCGCTTAATGATCATTATGCACACTCAATTGGATCAATTTTACTTGTTGTTATTAAATCTCATTGAGATTTTCCAGAGTAGATTAGGGGTTGTTCTACATAAAAGCGCAAGATCAAAGCCTAAATATTAGGAATAATTTATTGATTTACTGTAAAGTCTTTAGATTTATCTCATTTACCAAAAGAGTTAACTTTAATTTTGGCATAAATATTTAAACCAAAACATAAAAAATGGGTTAATTGCAAGGATGGTCACTGGGTTTACTAAAACCGTTCATGTTTGGTCACTGCAAATATTTAATTCCATTCATGGTCACTAAGATTAGTTCAATAGGTCAAGTTTGGTCACTCTCCGTTAGTCTCCGTTAGTTTTTGCTGATGTGGCAGTCAACTATTATAGTTGACCGTTAAATAAGTGACGTGACCATTAAAAAAATAATAAAATAATAAAATTTAAATGTTTACAATTTCCACCTCATTTTAAAATTATTAAAAAATAAATATAAAAATAAAAATATTTACAAGTTCACCGTTGGAAGGAACTACCACTTCCAACAATCCCAGCAACCCCCTGAAACTCCTTCCACCAAACCATGAACGAGCTCTCCCCCAGGAAAATCTCAGAATCCACCGCAAAGTTCCCAATCTGCTCCATCACATACCTCTGGAACTCCACCAAACGGTTCTTCGCCTCACTAGACTTACCACCACCACCGCTACCCTTCTGCTTCAGCAATCTCACCGCAAACAGAGCCTCCTCCACGTCCGCCCAGAAGCAGGAATCTTCAGTCATCCTATCCACTGGCTGCTTCTTTATCTTGCCCTTCCCTGCCGCGTCTTCCTTCTGCCATTTCTCCAGCAGAACGTAATACGGCGACCTCCCCTGTTTCTTGTAGTCTCTGTTTTTCCCATCTCGGTAGAACTCTGCGATGTCGAGAGGCTCCACCATCCGCCGATAATTCGTTCTGCCGTAGAGGAACATGGTTCGGAAGAACAAGCTCTCCTTTTGGGACTTGCTTTCGGCTTGTTCGACGAGATCCTTCCAGTAATTGGTTAGAAATTTCTTGTGCTTGGCGATTTCTATGTCGGCCGTGGTGCTCTGTATTTTGTAACTGTCGTAGTACCCTTTTCCTTTGCTTTTGCTGTCCTTTTTATACCATTCTAAGTACGCCATCTTCATTTTGATCTCTTGTAATTTCCTGCTCTGCACGCGCTCCGTTTGCGGAAAGATGAGAATTTCTGCTTCTTCTCCATCTCGGTAGATAGGTTTATTGTGCTCTGCTTCTGCTGCATTGATAATATTACGTAATGCCCATTTAAGTGCACTTATTATTAGCCAAAGTAAAAGGAAGGCTTGGAGATAGTTATAAAATGAGGTGGAAAATTGTAAATGTTTAAATTCTATTATTTTATTATTTTTTTAATGGCCACGTCACTCATTTAACGGTCAACTATAATAGTTGACTGCCACATCAGCAAAAACTAACGGAGACTAACGGAGAGTGACCAAATTTGAACTATTGAACTAATCTTAGTGACTATGAATGGAATTAAATATTTGCAGTGACCAAACATGAACGGTTTTAGTAAATCCAGTGACCATCCTTGCAATTAACCCCATAAAAAATTTATGAAGATAAAAGAAAACACACATCATGCCATATAATTAAACAGGACAAGAAAATTATCCAATTTTGGGGCCCATCATAAGATACCAAGTGCAACATTAATTCTTAGTCTTTGGACAGAGTAATTAACTGCGAGCGGTACTCTTAATACAATGATCAAATACTGATAATTAGTTCTGTCAAACAACAGTCTATCTTTGGACCGACTGTTATTCACATTAACGATAACTTTATAATTATCACGTATTTACCATTAAGGTGCTTGATTATTTGGTTAGATAGTGTCGTCCTTTGGGTCGAGCACTACCCACATAAAATAATCATACATGTACATCCATATATTCTAATTTATAATAATTCTCGCAAGTAGAGGTTACTTTGGCAACATACTCCTAAATTTAATTTAATTAAAATACTGGAAAATTCTCTCATAATCACAAGATGTTAATAAGTGATTAAATACCATTAAGAGAGAATTACAATAATAATTTAAGTAAAGGTTTACTCATCCCAAGATACCATGCACTCCATTAATATTTTATCTTTGGACAAAATGTTAACTTGTAAGTGATGTCTTATGTCACAATAATTAAATGTCGATGACAAAAATATGTGAAACAATAAATCTACCTTTAGACTGATTTGAAGTTCACATGCAAACCAAATAATCGTCACACATTTATTACTGCATGTACATATTATTCCTTAAATATTCATCTATCTTTGGGATAGTGAATACATACATAACACATGCACAAAAATAAACCTTACTTTATAGGGATTTAAAATTGTTAAACCGACCCAAAAATTAGTTTACTTAAATGAGGCATATATTCCTCACAAAATAGTCCTGTTAAATAAAGATTACAAGGCATGAAATGCATAAAATAACTGTAAAGTGCATTTTAATGATCCAACGACCATCACTCAACATAAAATATTGATGACAAGTCCGGTCAAATAATAGTTTATCTTTGGAGACTATTATTCACATGGAACACATAGTTTCACCATCATCACATATTTATCATTAAGGTGTACCAATATTTGGCCAAATAGTATTTACCCTTGGGCCGAACACTATTCGCATAAACAACCACACACCAAATACCAATATATTTTAAGTTAGATTAATTATCACAAGATAAGTTGCTTTGGCAACATAATGTGAATAATCAAAATAACCAAAAATGGACTAATCAATGTGATTGTGAAACTTGTAAGAATAAGATGAAATACATAACAAATATTGTACACTCCATTTTACAACTATTCGAAGCCCGAGTGAAAATAGGGTGAGAAGAGCAAGTAACAAGGTTCTTTCCCTCTTTTGGTGGATCGAGATTACAAGTGAGAGATGATTTGGAGAGTGAATTCTTAGAGAGAGAAGTTGATATTTTAGAGTGAGAGGGTAGAAAAATGTGATCCCCTCACCACCGGAGTAAATGCTCTATTTATAGGCTACATTGTGATGGGTGGGTATTTAATATGATATGATTATACCTAGGCCATGAATGATTATACCTAGGACTAGGATGTGACCGTTCCTTCCGGGAAACGACGCCGTTCTCAGGTTTCCCAACTTGGCCTTGGTAGAGGCAAAACGGCGTCGGCCTGAGAAGCACAAAACGACGTCAGCCCGGGCCGAGTAAAACGACGTCGTCCCGGGACGAGCAAAAACGATGTCGCCTGGATTACCGGTATTTGCGGGCGGGTGTTGTCTCGCGGAACCCAATCCGTGAGTACGTCCATTCCGCGAGTGCACTAACGCGAGTGGTTACTCTGGAGGCGCGTTGGTCCGACTTAATGGCGCAATTAGACCCGAGCCATACCCCCAACAACAACCGCACATAATAATTGTCAATATCAAGATATTTACTAAAGAGTTATCATTAACATTTTTTTAAAAAAATTATCATTAACACTAACAGTTGCCAGCGGAAATAATAATTAAATAAGTATCACTTTTATAATCTAAACCGCAACGGCAAACTTCCATAAAGTGATAACAATAATTATTATTTTGAAACAAACAAAACTCCCAAAGCCGAGGATAGTTAGTAATGCAAGTTATCTATTGGAAAAAAAAAAAAAAAGAGGATAGTTAGTAATTAATCACTTCCTTATTGTACAAAGTCCAACCGACTACAGTAATTAATTAATCAGTAAAAAGGAAAATATATAATTGCAATGAAAACGGTGAATTTCTGTAACCGACTAGCGACTAACCGTAGTCAGAGGGGGAAAAAATCATTATAAGCAAAACATGACTCCTTGCCGGAATGAGAATCAATTATGAAAAATAAACCCCCAAAAAGAAAAAAAAAACTATGAGAAGATAACTATTAATTAACCACTTCCACAACAGGTTATGAAAAAGATATATATATTAATTAATCCTTCCGGTCACCCCTTGCCATCCGTAATTTCGTAGCCTGAGATAATAATAATAATTTGAATTTGTATTATTATTAAAACAAAACAAAAAACGAATGGCTACGTCTAGGGGTGGAAATCGGTACGGTATCGGTATCCCAATACCAAATACCGAAATCCCGAATACCGAATTACACCCTAAAATCAATCTCAATCACAATCCCTAAATAATTTCGGTATCCCAATCCCTAAATAATTTCGGTATCCCAATCGGTACCTCGGTATCCCAATCGGTATTATAGAATACATAATTAATTACCTTTGCAATTAATAATTAAATATATAAATTAGATTTTATTGTTTAATTTAGGGCAAAGAGACTAAGCAAATAGTCTTGAGTTGCCTAGAGCTAACATCTCAAATTCTTGTAATTGGTAATCTTTAATTTGACGAATTTGAGATTGAGAGACAACTAATATTAGTGTGAAATAGTGATGTAATGATCTATGTATAAATAAATGACACTTTTGGTGGTTGAGAGTCGCGTAGTAGTGAATGAGAGAGTCTAGTTGAGAGGATAAAATACACACTAGCTTATATTTCGGTATTGATCGGTATTTCGGTATATACCGATCCCAATCCCGTAATCCCTAATACCGAATAACATTTGAAATTCAATCCCAATCCCAATCCCAATCCCACAAAATAATTAGTATATTCGGCAATACCAAATATAGACAAATTCGGTACGATATTCGGTATATTCCAAATACCGGTACCAAACTTCCAGCCCTAGCTACGTCTGCAACCCTCAATGATCAATTAATTTTCCATAATCGAATGATTAATTAATCGTTAAATTACCCATATAACTAATAACTCATAACTGTAACGTGGCTACGAAACCTTAGGGTAAGAAATTGCAATCCTTATCAATTTCCCACAACTGTAACCAAATGCCACAAAAAATTAAGGGCTTAATTGCAAGTTTGGTCACCCGAATTGCTTAAAAATTTCACGTTTGCCACTCAAATTGATTTATTCCATTTATAGTCACTCGAATTAGTTGAACAGTCCAAGTTCGATCACTCTCTGCTAACCTCTGTTAGACTCCGTTAATGACGACCGTTAAGTGATGACGTGGCTAACAGAATGACACAGTCAGCACATTTAAACATTAAAAAACGACGACCCGACCCGTCCTGTTAGCCATTCTTGCCCAACCCGCGAACCAACCCAATTAATTGACCCTAAACCCAAACCCGAGACCCATTCCCAATTCTTATATCTACCTCCTTGTTCCCATCGTCTCCAGCTCTTCTCCACTTTACTCCTTTCCCTCCCATGGCTTCTTGTTGACTTCCGCCTCACCTTATTCTCCTTCATCTTCTCCATCCGGTTCCTCTCAATTCTCTCCCCGATCGCTCCGAATCCGAAGAAAATCGAAGGAGGAAAACAACAAATGGCGGTTGACCTAATGAGTTTCAGGAAGGTCGACGATCAGATTGCGATCCAGGAAGCAGCCGCTCAAGGCCTGCAGAGCATGGAGCACCTGATCCGCGTCATGTCTCATCACCAACAGCAGTCCAACAGCCACACCACCGACGCCGATTGTACGGATCTCACGGAAGTCACCGTATTCAGGTTCAAGAAGGTCATCTCCCTCCTCAATTCGTCGGTGAATTTGTTGCCGGAGATGTCGAGGTGTTCCAAAACAGAGCAATCTCTGAGGGAAGGAAGCCCGCCGCCGGTGAAATTGTTCGCCGATATGTCCAGATACTCCAGATTCTCACAACCGGAAACGTCGACCTGGCCGCCGACTTTGTTCCCCTTAATCGCCAGCATCTTCAATTCGCTACAACCACCGCCGTCGCCGCCGAGCAAAAACGACATGACATTTTGCCCGACAAGCCTGTTCCACGAAAGATCAAGAGATTCCAAACCTGCAACAATCTTCAGTCATCCGCTCCATTTATCCTTCACCGAGAAATCCAGAGCGTTGCCGGAGAGATTGAGGGCCTTCAAACCGGGGCAGGCAGCCAGACCAAAAACATCGGAAACGGGACCCGACAGAGAATTCCTCGACAGATCCAAGCTGGTCAAAACAGAGCTGCACTTAGATCCAGGAGGAAACGATATGGAGCCGAGAAGGGCCAAGCTCTCGAGTGAATCAATC